TTTTTGTCATTATAAACGTACTTAATAAATAATAATAAATTTAAAAGACACGTACAACGTGTGTTTACAGTATGTTTAATTTAATCTTACTTTAGTATGTACAGTCATAGGTAGAAAGTTGTACAAAACGATTGTGCATAGATGTTATTCGTATAAAAAAGGGGGTAGTCCGTATCTAAGATGGCGTATACGGGGTGTCGATGTAACCGAGGGTGGGGCGAGGGCGTCGCAGGGCGGGCGGCGGCGGCGGTAGCGAGCGCAGCACGACGTCCGCCGAGCGGGCGCCAGCGCAGGCTACAGCCACTTAGCCCTCCGCAGGAGCTTCTCCCTCTGCCGGCGCCGCCGCGCCCTTAGGCTTAGGTCCCTGCCACCCATCGCACATTTTTCGGAGGAACGCTGGAAACACAAAACAATAGCATTAGAAAACCATAAAAACAAATGAAAAATTGTTATTTGCGTAAATGGGTTATGAATAACATATGACTTGTTGAAATGATTTCATGATTGACAGAATAAACATTGGTTAAGTTTTAAGAGAATAAGTAAACATTAAACAGAATGTAAAGCAGTAAAACAGATAGTTACGACAGTATCAATAGAGAAGAGCTGTAAAATTGTAAGCCTTAGATCAGCAGTTAGAAGAAACGGAGCGCAGTGATAGCTATATTGTACGACGGTCCACTTACGATCTTATTACTAAAGATATGACGAGGTGTGTCGCCTCTACGCCATCACCTTCTTCAGGAATGCTGTAAATGGAAAATCGGTAAGACAAAGGGGACACACACGATCCGGAAATATACCCTCATGCTTCATACACTTGGGTTGGGTAAATACAAAGGGATCTACTGAATTTTACACATTACATTTTCTGGTAAAATAGGTAAAGACAATCAGGAATAATTAACAAGGTTTATTTATACATGCTGCAATATGGTATTTGCTTAACTAAGGAATTGTGAAGGTCACTTTATGCATTTATTTGGCTATGTATGGTGTATACGAGACAGGGTAATAATGTAGATACTTTGGAAGGATTCAAACAATTACAATTTTACACAAAACATTTACATGCCAATTTAATAAAAATGTATTGGGTTTCTACCACAATCAATACTCATGTCCTTCTAAAATTCACTTTTAAAACAAAACAAAGAAAATGTATACTTACGTGCATAGGGGATCATGCCGTCGTCATCCTCAGCGTCCATGCAGTCCTTTGTGACTTCAGTGACTTCATTATCATCCAGTTTCTCACCTAAGCATTATAAAAATTCAAAATTAAGTAGGAAACGTTGTATGACACATGGTGTGCCAAGAGGAAAAACTGTTAGGACTAGACGAGTAACTGAACTGACTAAATAGTACTAATTTACTACAACTCAGCAATGTAATCAATCTGTCTGTCATCTGTGAGAGATACAACAACGGACTGTTTGATTTTTGTTATTATATTTAGAAACCTAACCTGTTTCGTTACTTTCTGGTAACCAAAAGTATGTTTTTCCAAGTAAAAAGCTAACATTATTCCTTCCTATCAAATAAAAGAATAGTATCACGCTTTCATTTTCATAAACACGGATTGCTGTTACAGAAAATAAGAAAAAATAGAATACGAAACTAAAACCAGCTCTGTCGTGAAAATCATTATTTCGAAACCACGATCACTGGCGCCTAGCCAAGTGATTTCAGTTCATGTCCAACTGGAAATGAAGTTGATGCCAATTTATCTTATTGACACGTTTGAGCCTTAGAAAAAATAAAAATACCCATGGCTAAACAACAGTGTACGTTTACGATCCATGTTTATGATGTAGAATTATGTTTTACGATCTTTAAATCATGAAATTCATAAGACTTTAAAAGCTGGCCTATCTTCTAAAAAGAAACATGCAGAGTTTTTTACTTCTGGAAAATAAGACTTTCAACATTTATAAAATTCTTCTCACCTAACGCAAGGAGCGTGTGTGTAAGCTCGGCGCCAAGCATAAGACCGTTCTCGTTCTTGTCGTACAGTTTCAGACATTCCAAGAAGTCTTCGTACTGTCCCTGGTCTTTGTCTTTCTTTGCTTGGCTGTAGATGGGAAGGAACTCTTCAATCTGAAACAAATCAATACATTACTCAACTTTCACGTTTCAATCCGTTTTTACATCTCTCTATTCTCTATTAATATTTTCATCTTGTTTAAAACGGCTCCAGCGATTTCATTCAATGGTTCTGTGCTCATTAGTCATTTTGATAACCGTAGTTTTTAGAAATACTACTTATAATTTATTCTACACACACCAAAAGTTTGATTTCTACATGTACTAGTCATTTAACCCTTTGACTTCTTAGTTTGACAATACCAATCTACTGATAATCACTTGAATATCTTCCTAATTTTTTTTCATATTTGATGGGCCGCCGTTTGACCGCTATCTCGCCTGGTAGTAAGCGATGATGCGGTTTACGATAGGGCACGTCGAACCATAAGCAATCTATTCACTCGGGCCTTGAAGAAACCCAAGTTATACCCTCCAAGAAACACAGACTCTGACAAGGAATTCAAATTTATTTTTAGTTACTTACGGTGAGCGTCTTCTCGCCCTTCTTCTTGGTTCCACCGAGCTTCTCGATGGTGGCCAATGTGGGGTTGGAGTTCAGTGCCCTGAGGACATCTCCTAGGTTGAAGGCGTCGATTTTGCCGCTACCATCGAAGTCGTAGATGGAGAAGGCGAAGGATGCCCCTGTACAATAAAACATAATAATGTTCATCATGTTCTTAAAAACAATAAATGAGACCTTAATATATTTCTTCTATACATAAACAAGTATACTTAAATACTTTAGAAATATCTTATGGTAAAAAACTAAAAACGATGCTTTCAAATTGTGTTAAATATATTTTAGTTTTGTTAAGTGATTCTTATTTAGTTAATTTTGGAATATTGTGAGATAAACGTAATGTTCCAATTTGTTTTGCATTCTATTCCTATTTCATTTGAAAATTCTTTCTAACAAATCAGGAAATATTTGAATTAATTTATGAGTCTTCATTAAAGTTTGACAACTCCAGGTATCTTTATTGGTTACAAAATTTCGTTAAAGTTCTCGAAATTACGGTTTGTTTAAGTCAGGTAGAGCACGGAACGATGCGTGGGCGCGCACATTCTTCGCGCCCAGAATAATACTTTTCCACGATACGTTTCAATATATTCGGTGTGAACTTCTGAGTCACTTTCTAATTATAGCTCGATTGAAACAGTACCCTAATTTAAACCAACTGTTAAGCCGCGTCGGATTGTCATTATTAATTTTTTTTTATAAAAATTATTTATTCCAAATATATTTGTGTAATAAAAATAATTTAAGAATAATCCAATTCATTAACATTCCATTAAATTATTTCCAGAAGTTTCTATTCAATCTACTTGATAACTCGTCATTACTTAGCGCATGCGTAAAATGCATTAGGATCAGCTGACTCAAGATCATTTACCGACCTTGATAATGACAGCTGATTTATAGTTGCAAATGTAAATGAAGTGACAGATATCCGTTGCATAAAATATACGTAGGTAGTCCATGTACGTAGACTCTGATTCCCACGCTAAAACATACGTAGCGCGCTTGCAGTGAAATCTGAGTGGAGTTTCTCTGTTTGGGCGGGCGGCAATTCGGGATCACGTGACGCATGAGTTTAATTTTGGAACGCAGCGCGCGCGCAGCATGGCCGTGCCACTGGCGCTGCCGCCCGGCATCTCCTAGTAACGCGCACCTTTTTGAGAAACGATGCTAAACTTAGATGTTATGATCCTCACTCCCGTTTCATTTATGCAATGTTATTTCACTTGTATGGAAACACGATTACGTTAACATTTTAATTACTGAAGCAGAAATAACTATCTATCCGTGACAATCTATGTTGATTTTTCTACCAATATTAGTTGCCCCTGTGTTTTAATACAACGCCGAAACATCTATGATGTGTTTTTTAGTTTTATAGTCAAGTTAATAAAATTTAGTAAACAAAGTGATACAAAAATGTGTACTTACTTTCAACGTCGTTCTTGCTGAGGTCGCTCTGAAAAGTACCAAAAATATTTCGTTATTTCCTTGTACGTAACAGTTGCCATGCATAGTGTAGTGGTATTAGTTGGTGTGTATTCACAGCTTTGCAGCTCAGTTTGTGTAGAAGCATTCGAATTATACGATACCATCTTCTTTCACTGGTTCTTAAGCACAACACTGTTTTATATTGTGGATGTTAAAGTGAACACATCCAAGTCGCTCGCGAGCATCCGGTCTGCGGAATAACTTGCACGAGGAATAAACGCGTTTTATTTTTACGTATTTCTTTGTATTTATCACTTGTTAAGCTAACAGTCCATTTTCTCACTTAACACGTTGACACAATTTCACTGCCGTCAGTGACTCACCATTTTGTGTGGTGTTAGTTGGTTCCCTCCCGGTCTTCACTGGCAGACGTTCAGACAAGAAGTGGGGCTCGGTAACTTTTCGCGGGACTGTTTTAACTGGCTTAGATGGCGCACCCGTCTGGATATTTGAGATTTAGCCCAGGAATCCGCGACCGTTCTATTTTCGGCGGAGTTGGTCCGTTTCCATAGCGTTGTCGGACACACAGTACACCTACAAGTGCAAAAGAGACGAAACGATTTTCCACCTGCCTAAGTGTGGATACGTGCTAACGCCAATTGTAATGTTAAATCTACATTTATGCTAAACTATTTCGATCGGATCTTTGTGGTATACGCTCTGCGGAAAGGTGTTTAAAATATGCTCGAACCCCTAGAGATCCGTACTTATGTAGAGTTTTTAGTTCCCAGTTATATATTAAGTATTAATTGGTATTAAAAAGCAATACAGTATAAGGTTAATTTCGATTAGGTGAACTAATAATGAAAAAAATATTAAATTTGGCACTTAAACCTTTATTGACACAAGATGAACCAAATAGAATAAACAGATAGATTTGGCCGATTTCCTGGTAAGACAGTCAGTACTCGCCGCACTCATCAGGTTTTACATCGAAAGTATAGCCCTTCCAACGTGAAGAATGGACAAACGACTCGTTGACCGTGTTAAACTTCCAGACAACATCTTGGTTGGGTGAGGGTGACCGAAGAAGACGTTGATCCAAAAGACTTGCAGCTCGACGTCTTGCATCAGGAGATAAAGGACACAAACCACGAGCAGCAAATGGAACCCGATTTTCCTGTTAAAATATTACGAATTGCAATAAATTGAATCTGCCTATTAATTACTATTTACTAATTCCGCTGTCTTTATTAAACACTAATTTGTACTCCTAGCAAGTTGCAGATTTCATAAATTAATCCTAGTCATCTTGATCTATTCACCTGTTCATCATGTCATAAACGAGTAACGACATTGAAATCGAATTATATCTGATGTAATACAGGATTTACCCAGTAGTCTAGGTCAAGCGCACGATTTAAAGCAGCTGGTAAATTACATCATTTTTATAAAACAAATTCATGTATAAAACTTTATCGAATTGTTTAACAAACGTTCTATTTTTGTCTAATAATTGGAAAAATAAATTAAATCTACCTATTAAGTACGTATCTATACCAAAAACTTATTTTGATACCTTGCGTTTCCCGGGAGTCCTGCGTCGCCACCATCCTCGGATACAAGCTAGAAGCCTTGCACCTTGAGAGCGGCACCTACTGACCAGCGAACCTTTTTTCGACCCACTTGCCGCTGCAGACACTCCTGATTCTGCTGCTACTAACTCCTTCATCATTGGCTAAACCATTACATAAATAATAATTACTGTCGTAGTTAAGTACCATGCTTAAATTTCATTTTTAAATTACCAATAAAATAGTTACGTTTAATGTTTATTAAACTTACACAAATGTGAGGCTCCTCATCACGATTAGTTGATAAATTTTCTTCAGATGTGTCAGCAGTCATTAATTCCACTTCTTGGAGAGTCATACCTTTTGGATCTTCTAATATTGGATCTACTTCATCTTCGGAATTTTGTTCATAATCACCTACATTAGGAAAATCAATATTAAATCTATAAAAAATACACAATTAGGTAGGTATGCGAGTGTAGCAGAACTTTACTCACGATTCAAACTAAGGAATGCATTTTCAAATCGTGCAACGTCGTTAGTCTCGACTAATTTCTCTGGAATATCATCTTCACAAAGCTGTGACAATAAAAATTATTCCATAAAAATTTAATAGACAAGCATTATCCTAAATAAGCACTGCAGGAAGTTATTCAATATCAAAATATGCAAAAAGCGTACCTCTCTTATTTCTACATTGGGAACAAGATGAGAGCGTGCACTGTTTCTATCAACGTCACCAGATCCATCGTCATGTATATAAAATGCAACATCTTTACTGATGTCCTCTGCAAAAGCATCTGTCAAAAATGAATATTCAGAAGGTTCAGGGCTATTCTCTGTTTTCTCCACCGGCACCGGCATCATACCCGCCGTCGAATGTGAAGGCTGCTCAATTGTCATACCCAATGCTGTATTCACATATGACTCCATAATTTTGTTCATTGCCTCAGTAAGCAATTCATTTGGCTCCGAATTATTTTGCATAATTTCGGTCTCATCGAATATTATTACTTTTTCAACTTCACTCATATCAAAAAGATGATTGATAAACATTGATGTGGATTTCGTTAACTCGTTCTGGCGCTAAAAATATTTGTTACAGTTACAGAAAATAATTTGTTTACATATTATTAGTTAATATGAAACATTTGTGGAAATCTCACCAAATCAAGCTCTTCGTCTCCTTGGCCTATGAGATTAGGCTCTGGCTTATTTTTTTGTAAATCATCTGAAATATTATCTCACATTAGAGAAACGTTGCTAATAGCGCACTCATTTATTATGCAAACATACAAATACTCAACTCGATCTTGATGCTTCATATATTTGAATTTACATTTCTCATTCTGGATTACAGGATGACACTGTTTTTAATGAGTTACCTACTTTCAGTTTTAAATAGTTCTACGGAACTATTTGTAGGTGGGTAGGTATAGAAAAAACTAATACGTTATCCAGTAACATTGTTTCAGTCACTTCTAAATATTTGGCAGGCGTTTGAAATGTTACCTGACTAAGAATTACCTGTAACTTTTTCCGGCGTCAATGTAGCAACTACATTGGCAGCATGCTCTATCTTATTTTCATTCACGATGTCACTGTCGCCCTTTGACGCCTCGAACGATGTGTCTTCATCATCAGCATCACACTGTTTATCACTCTCAAAATTTTTCATCATTGACTGATAATGCCACGGATGACCTGTTATCGTAATTGGAGTTAATTATAGCCCGCTGGGATTAAGAGCCGTCCGTCGATTCGCTAAGCTTCTGAAGTATGGAACGCAGTGGTATAATAATGTAAAAGTTCTGCATGTGTAATGAGAAAGGTGTAAGCTGTATTGTATTGTGATACTTTTTGGATAAAACTCGTAAAATAAGTACGTTTATTAGTTTTGAAGAAAAATAGCATCAGCCATCACTTCGCCACCAACATTACGTTTATAATGTGGCCTACATTAAGCTCAAATATTGTTTAAAAATTTTTGATCGATACTTTATTGTATACTTCATATTTATATCTCACCCTTTTCACCCTTCTCAGCAGTAGCATTAGCTATCACAAAAGCTTCATCTAAAACCTGACTGACAAGATGGGCTGCTAACATAGCTGCAAGCCGCGGATCGCAAGCTTGCTCACCATCGACTGTACGCAAAAAGATAAGTTATGACTTTTCTTCTAATTATATAGTAAATGCAATGTTACGTACCTAAAAATAAATATCTAAAAACATAAATAATAAATCAATATCCAAAAACACACCTTCCTTGTTGATCATCTTGACAGTTTTAAATGACATCGGAATCTGTTTTTTTTCTCGTATATTTCCAGCCAGTGTTAGTTTAATTCGTATGAAAAAAGAGTTTTCAACTTGATCTTGTTGTAAAATATGAATATACTCTTTTGTAGATAATTTTCCAAAATGTTACCAATCATTTTAAACTTTTCCCTTATCTTGGGAAAAGGCCAATCCGAAGAATTGTCTTTCTTGGTCTCAATTTTATGCTATCGTTTAAATAATCGCGAATCTAGGGATCCATGTTCATTAGTTGTACTGGCCAGACCATTGAAATAGTCTGTTAAGCGTTATTGCATCGATATAATTAGAAATCTGAAGATTGCAAGCTACCTAAGCGGTAAAGTAAACATCATATTTCATTTTCCTTCTACACAGAAATAGTTTATCTTAATTGTTTGCCGAGATTGTCACACTTTTCAGAAGTAGTTAATGTAAAAACCTTGTTTTCAGTTCTTGACGATCTTTATATCGTTATTTGTTAATTTTAGAGTGCCTTTGTTTTAAAAGAGGTATATGAGATATTTACCTACCTAATCTCCTTTGTTACTGTGTATTTCATATCTGTGACTCTGTGAGTTCTTTTATGATCAACAACAAAACTGGAAGCTAATTCTGAAAAGCTTATTTAGGGCATCGCCTTATTAGGGTCAGCTTCACAGATACCTACATGGGCTCTTATTGGACTGCTTTCGAGATGAAAACTGATATACAGAAATGTAGCTAACAAACTAACATTAATATTGTACAAGAAATCTATACCAAATGACAATTTATAAGCTTTATCATAAGTACTATAACATCAATTGGCCACTTTCATTACTCATTCCGCTATCATTTATCATACGAGCATCAACATTTTATTAAAATAATCTCTGTTTCTTATAATAAAGTTTCTGAAATACGTAAAAAGCAGTTTCCATTCAAAACACAACGTCGCTATTTCGGTAACGCCCAGCCAATAGCTATAGTATGTTGCATATATTCTAAAACTTCAACCTCGTTCTATTTTTATAGAAGTTTCGTGATTGTATCTCAGAATAATTTGTTATGAACCAGGAATATGGTATAAATCTGACAAAAACTTGACTAATTAACAAACTATTGTATGGAATACAAACGGGTATGTAAATTAATAACCGTCTAACGAGTTGGCACATAAATTAAGAAAGTAATAGAGGTGTGTCACAAAGTCAGCGCATAAATGTGAAATTCTATAGCTTTAAGACGACGTGGCTCCAACAATACTCTATGACATCATACCTACCTGTGTATTTACTTATTAAAAATGTTTCTACACGCCTACACACCTATTTCAGCAATTAACAACCAATTGTATTTTAAACTAAGACTTTAAATTGTACCTAAGCTACACTTAGTCAATCTTTAAATAGGTAGGTCCCTATAGGTAGTTACGGGTGTCCTATGAAATTACCAATATCTACGACTTCTGAAAAATAACTAAACATCTTTCTACAGGTATTTGACTCTTTAATCATGTAGTAAGTAATTCTGGAAAGAAGTATTTATTCAAAATAAAATAGATATGCCGAAACATAAATTTTGTGTGTGATTCATTAAGGTGACGTAACATGGTGATGTCTCCGATATTATTTTAACTTCCTTCACCCGATGTGGGCGGGAATAAACAGAGCAGTATGTATGTATAGGTACGTTTGGATTGTCCATAAAGCTATTTTAATCTCGTTGTATAATAAGTACGTAAACCCGTGCATTGCCAGTGGAATCTACAATGTACGAAATATTTGAGTTGCATCGCAACTGCTTTGGATGGCACCGTTCGCACCGAACTGGCGGACACTTCATATTTAAAAACTTTTATTTGAGCTAATTGGCTTCTTCGCGTTTTTCAAGAAAATCGTTAAAATCTGAATTACATATAAGTCTACCTTATACTAACTCCATGCAATTCTTCACGAGGCCGGCAGTAAACAGGGCAGTGGCTGCCTGCCATACTACAGTGATCACATACCACCACAACACATTCTTAATAGTTATACACTTACATCTATTTTTGAAATCATCTACATGATGAAAGAACAAGGTAAAATACATGTGTCAATCATATTGCACTCGCATGATGACATAGAGTTGTTACAAATAACTTCATCATCTTAAATTATTAAATAATTGCTAAAATATATAAAATAATAAAGCAGAGATATTAGGTGCTCTCCTACCATTCACATGTCAGAACAAATGAGAGGTACTTATGCGACTAAAAATTATGCTAACCTACTGTCATACTAGTTGACATAGATACCTAAATAAGAAAAAAACTCCGATCAAAAAATATATTTTAGAATTTGTTAAAAAAGCAGAAACTAAATTATACTTCTAAGCTCTTTGCTTGATAATGATACGGGATACCAATAACAATATCATATCATATTAAAAAAGCTATAATATAAAAATACCCTTTCTAACTTCTCCATATTTGACTTCAGGTAAAAAACGCCTTTTTAACCGGTGGTTATAGTAGATAGGTAAAATCCTGCCTTCGTTTCAATGGGTTTTCGATACTGATTTAAACAGGGATCTGCAAGCTCGTATAAGTAGATGCTTTTTCGATCAACGTGATTACTGTCATACCGCTGTGACGAGTTTTTCAGGGGAGAAAACACCGTTCGTTTTTATGACACCAAATCTTAATAAATAATTCCTTTTTAATCCCAAATCTTGGAAATTGAACTGGTTAGGTATTCAGAACACCTAATATAATTAATAAAAGACGTGAGATAGGTGGTTAACCTACATATAGGAATAAAAAAAAAATTAAGTACAGACCTACAGCTAATTGGTCACAAAATCTGATGGCTGCATAAAACAATGACAATGTATGTGTACACAAGCAACGGAAACAATCTACAAAATGGGTACTGTTAGTGGCGCTCCCTGGACGTCTCTATTTATAAAGTAAATTGCTTGCCGCTAAGTGAACATTGATATCTATGCCAATCTTGTTAATTCAATGCCTTTACGTTTACTATTTTATTTGGGGACGTATCAAATAAATTACATACACGAGGGTTGAAAGCAAAGTAAAATCGTAATAGATTAAACATATTTCTTAACTTTACTTAAATCCATTTTTTCATAAATCTAATCAATGCAATAACCGGTGAATAAAACTCTGGCCTACATTTTCAGCTGCTCTCAAGCAGCCATATTGCCGTTTCTATGGCAACCGGAGGCTGGCTCTCCGCCTCTCGACCCGCGCGCACAGATCAATGCTGAAAATTTCCAGGGCTGTTGAAACACACAGTGGAATATATTAATATGTAAGATTTCATCTTAATACGAATCATACAAAACTGTAATGACTATGATATAGGTATCACTTTTTTAACTCTTGGCTTGATCTTAATCGTAGTTTAAAGAGACTCAATACCTAATTGAATATTTTCATGCTAAACTTAAAGTCAAAAACACTTGTTTAGGGTTCACTTTTATATCTAATCATGCTACTTGATAAAGTATGCGTTAAAGAATATTGCTTCGGGAAATTTAATTTGCTTAAATCAGGAAAAACTTAGTAGTGCCAACCCTAGGCGTCTGTCTCGTCACAATTGCGCGGAACCTCATTTCCAGTCTCGCGTCCCTTGGAAGAGGTCCTCGCTTCCTCCCTTATTTCCCCATCGTGTCACCATACCATGTAAACAGTGGTGTTCCCATGTGTCACAAACAATGTGTTAATTACTGCAAGTGAGGTATATTTTGCAACCTGTAGTGGAATAGTTTCACTCACTTTAATTATGTAACACCTTTTAAGTTCATTACTTCTAAGGAAAGATAGATAGTATCTAAATAAATTAATTATTCCCGGTATGTGTGATTATTATGTATTTTACTGCGTTTTAACTTTTCCAGTCCTACTTAGGTCTTGTGGTTGACTAACGACGTGACATCGGGCATGTTTCCTTACACGTGCTTTTTGAATTTTAAAATTATTTCTTCCTTAAAGTGTTCCTTAATCATCAAATACTCTTACCTATTCACAACCCAAATCAAATTTTAAAAAGACTGAAATGGAGAGCCGATTCTCACAGTTCAATCGATATTTTCTCGTCAGGAGTCATTCCTTACAATGAAATCAAAAGACATGTCGGAAGAAGATCCAAATTCCGATGAGGTGGTCCCGATTCCAGTTCAGATTTTCCTGTGGAGACAAACCACGCCGTTCGTGAGACCGCGCCTAGGCAAAGTCCACGATGCGGCCTGCATGGTAAGCAAAACCTTTTGTACGACATTGTAAAATAATAAAAAGCGCCTTAAGTAAATGTTTCGCCAACCGTGTACATATGCTAAACTGCTGAACACTGATTGTTAGTTCTTGTCAGAAAATAACTATGATTTAATTGATACCTAAAATCACCACCTAGATAATTGTGCACTACTTAGGGCCCACATTGCCACTATAAGTACCTATTCCTATGAATTTTCATAAAATACACGTAAATATTATTCAGATACTCACCATACAAATAGCTATAACGCCTTGAATTTAGTCATAACATAACCTTCACTCTCCTTACACAATGTTAAGTATACGTTATCGAATACCTACATTATTAAGTAAAAATAAAATGTATTACTATCCACACCTGTTCTACGTCTAAAATTATTAACTTAGGACGTCACTAAATGTATTGTGCACAATGTGTATCGAATATATTGTCACTATATTCATCTCCCGTATGGTCTAGTGGCTAGGATACCTGGCTTTCACCCAGGAGGCTCGGGTTCGATTCCCGGTACGGGAAAATATTTTTGCTGTCCAATTTTATGTGCTGTAGTTTTGTTGTTGATTGTAAAGTGTCACTTATTTGTTAATAACACGCAGTTCTGTCAACGTGCTCCTGGACACCATGTAAGTTACACTTAAATGTGCTTTATTATTGCCTTATTCCTCATTATTTCTTTTGGGTGTTTTATTTGTTTTAAGTTATTATTATTATTGTTTGTGGATATATGTATATGTTGTATTCTATATTTCAATTGGTTTCCATTAGTTTCATCTTAAAATTACGGTAAACAATTCTTTATTGTTGTTATAAATTAATGTGTTCATCAATTTATTATAAAGATAAGGACAAACATGCTCTGATCACAGAGATTTTACATTGCATTGTTCCAATTTGTATAAAAGTTTGCAATATTTTTTAGAGTTATTAACTTTCTCCTGCATTTTGGTTCTTATGTTTAATCAAAGGTAACATTTTGTGAAAAGATTCGACAAATTTCAAAAACGTCAAATAGATTGACAACTGACAGCTTATAAACATATTGACATGTTTACCTTCATTTAATAAAGTTTTCGCAACAAAATAATTTTGTTATTATAAATAAAATTAACTTTTAACTTTTATTAAATAAACATATTTCTATTACAAATGCATCCTAGGAAGTGAAAGAAGCTTGTAAGGTGAGAAGATTTTTCAAATTGAATTTCATTTATGATGAATAAAAATTAAATAACTTTTGTTTAGTCTGGCGTACTTTTTTAAATAATAACTTTTAAATGAATTATTCGCTTTAATTGAAATGTAATTAAAATTAACCTGAAAATACTCACAATGAATTCTATTTTAAAGTCTATTTTAAATTCTAGTTTAAAGTTACAGCACTTTAATATAAAATCTAATTAGAAAGGATTTGTATAATTTAATTCTTTGTATTTCTATTACATTTTTAAACATATTGTAATGTAAATTACAGTCATTTGAGAAAGTACTAGTCCAGAACTTGCGGTTTGGACTGTCCATCAGTTTAGCCGACGCTATAGGATCTATTCCACGATGGAGACTGATACAAGCCTCGCTGCCTCATGTGATGCATGCTTTGGCTGCTCTGTTACACAACAGGTAATTTTTTTATTTTGTTTTATGTTCATAATATTTACTTAAACACTTAATTTTGTTAAATGGAACTATTTCTATTGAAGTATTTATATTTTCTTTGGGTGGAAAGTGAAAGGATAGCGGGTGTCAGACTCTTAAAGTATGAAACCCACCCTGTTCCAATTCCTGCTATGTGCCAGGGTTTCAGTACCTGTATGGCAATCTATCTGTTTCAGTAAGCCCTGCAGAAAATACTTTTATTTTGTAAATTAAACCCATTGATTATTATATAGATTCACTTTAAAATCGAAAACCCGAATCCTATTTTTTAATATAGTATTTACCTAAGCAAGACTTTAATTTGCAGAGTGAAAGACAACATGCAGTCTTTGGGCAATGTGGAAACGAAGTTACTTTACACCTTGCATTGGATCCTCCTTGATGCATCCGATGAATGTATTGAAGCCGACTATGAAAATGGAGTGTTCTACTCAAACCCTTTCCATTATCTCTTTTCTATACCTGCTTTAACCGTAAGTTGCCATTGAGTAATATTTTAAAGAGTAACTCATGCAAATTTTCTAATGAGAATTCCTAAGACATCAGATGACTTGTCATATTAAATATTGTTTTTGTTTCAGCTGTTTGTGTTCCTGTTTGCACCCCTGTCTCACCACCTGAAAGAGTCAGACTTCACAAACAACTATCGGTTAGAGAATGGCCTTAAGATGTGGCAAGCTATGTGGGAGTTCAGGCACCCTGAAGCCCCATGTTTCACCACACTGGTCAAGCCAAAACCCAAGCCTTTAGGTGGCAAGTATTCCAAGAGACATCAACCAGGCGACGTGTTTATGGGACGTATGTAGAGAAACCTATCATACTTTTACTCTTTAGTAATTTCATTACTAACGACTATAATTTATGGTATTTTTCCTTAACATGATTTTTGCGATTGCATCCCCTGGACTGACCCCGCTGGAGTTTGTTTATTTACAACTGTAATCAATTTCTAATTTCTTTTTTGTATTTAGCAACCCTTGGGCGTATGCGTGTAACCTTTTTGTACCTATTTGAGCTTGAATGTGATGAGATTTATTACTCCTGCATTATGATAAGCATTCTCAATAAACTAATGCTAACGTGTGATGATGTGATGTGATACATTTTTATATAATAATATCTGCTACTATTAATTATATGACACGAATCTAATTAGCTTTTGTTGTCACAGGTAAACTGTCTAAAGAAGAAGGAGGCGGAGGTAATGTGAATGGGAGCCCACCGAGTCAGAACGTGTCGATATCACAGTCGGAAGTGACGTCGAAACAGGCCAGTACTGAAGAAGAACCATGGCTGTCTTCACCTAAAGACACTATATTCCCTGAAACTATACCTGAAGAGAGTTCTAGCACTGAAGAAGAACATGTGGTAAGTAATTTAACTGTCCTTTTCGAATAATCGATTGATTTTGAATTCTATTTTTAATAATTTTTCAGTTCAATTTATTAGTGATAGGTAGATGTGTACACATCTTCCTATCACAGAAGAATTTGGACTCTATTCCAAATCCATAGAGTCCAAAATAGACTTATATATTACTACCCTATTTAACATAAACATTATTTTGTTATTTTCAGTTTATCTACCGACTACCTTCGGAGCAAAATTTTGGCGGCGCAGTGAAAGAAGCGTATACGGTGTACGCGGCTGATCCAAGTATATTTCAACCACGGAAAACGGATACGTCAAAGCAGGGACTACCGGGTATCAAACCTTTGCCACAGATTACTAAAATGAGGTAAGATTAACTATAGAAAGTGTCCGATTTACACATTCTACAAAAAAAAAACATGAGCTGAACATGTTACTGCCTAAGTGTTGAACTAACATGTTTTACTTTCCATTTTCGAAATTAAATAATAATAATTTCCTTTTATACTATATTCTTATTTACAGTTCATCGGATAAAGAGTCACTGTCGGACAGTGGCGGCGGCGGAGGCGGACCTACCAAGGATACTCCCACAACAGAAAAACCACCATCTGCTAAACAAGGGAATGTGAGTCCTATCGTAGTAAAAATAAGGTTAATTGTTATTTGAAGAACTTGTGCGAACTTTTGTAAGTTTTCAGGTCTCTGCTGCTACTTTCCTAGATGTAGCTACATTGCGGTGTTTATTTACTTCTCAATGGCAAGAAGAAGGTGTGTATTGGGCACTGCACTACTTGTACAACAGGTAAGTGTTCATTAAAAATATATATTAGAAAACATTATATTATAATGTGAACAATTATTTTAATACAATAATATTTCAGGTTACGAGATATATGCGATGATATGTCAAAACAAACGCAGCCAAGAAAGAGGAGCAATTCTTTGCCTATACCCAAAATTGAGGTCTCCGTATACCAGAGTCCTGACATAAAAGATCGTGACTCGCTAAAGAACTTCATCGAGGTCCCAGAAGTTAAGGACATGTCACCAATCACAGAGATGCCGTTCACTTCACCAACCAAAACAGAAGATGACAACATCATGACGAGAAGATCCAGCGAGAAGATAAAGCGAAAAATGAAAATGGCCGACCTCAAAGCCTTTGTAGAAACGAAACTACTATCCAAATCAGAAAAGGCTCTAGAGAAAATTGGACACGATGACCACAAGTTCTCCTTCCACTCCGCAGTTAGGATGCTATCTGTAGCTATATTTTCCTCTTATTTTAAACCTCTTCTCTTATGTACCTAATACTTTAATTTAAATATTATTTCAGGAATACCATAGGAGCTTGGACAATACGGATGATCGTCCTAATTCAGCGCTTGCGAGCAACTTCCCGCCTCTAGCCCCCAGGCTCACCGGCGATATGTTCCATTGCAATCTTATCAAAGGCAAAAGTATGCCCAGCCTTAGGTAAATATCCGTAGCCAATTTCCCTCATCCTTTTTCTTTTTCATGGCATTTTCCATTTGAACTTTTATTATAGCTATGGTATTTTTTAATAAAACTTTAATAAGTACCTATAGTTAATTGGATAAACGTAGACCAGTTTTTTGTATCTACTTGAAAATAAGCAGTGTATTTTAATTACTTTTCCACTGATTGTAATAGATAATATAGGTTTTAATAGAAGTAGTATTATTATAATTATTTTCTAGACTTAAACGGAGGGGGAGAAATATGACAAGGTGGACTTAGGTCCTACAATGCATTTTGTAAGAACACTTTAAAGATCAGACAATATTGCTCTGTTCTCCCTCTCTCTTACACCTTTTTCAAAGATCTCACAAGCTGAATTGAACGCTAAGCAACAGCAAATTAAGTTTTTTATCGGTATTCACAAAATATGACTCCAAATTCGTTCTATCAATCACTTTGATTTCATATCTTTAATTTCCAAAGCACAGCATGTTTATTTATCAACACAAAATTCTCGGTGAAATTTCTATTTAAAAATTGTATTTATTCTCTTTCTCCCATCTTGTTGACGCTTGTACCCGTACACTATTGTAATGGACGAACAATTCGGTCGCTAGCTGTTTGATTGATGAGCTAGCATCCAATGGGTAAGTGAGCAAATTAACAAAGAAATTAGAGGCTTCGTAACTTAGACGCTAGTCATGCTCGCAGGATTGGTAATACACGTACTAGTATTACGATATTTGTTAGGCGTAGAGGTTTTGCTTCAAGTTTTAGCACATCCGATATGAGGCCTTATTGCTACAAACAGTAGGCTTGTTTCCGCACATCAGACAATTACTTTGATCGAATAACAATTACACACAGACACACACTGTCACATTTACAATTAAACAGAACATCAAAGTAGTTGTATGCACGCACAATGCTCATTAGATTTCGATACACAGTTCATAACGAATTATTGCATTAGAACGTAATAGTAAGATTACGTAGTTAGATACAGTGATTTATTAAATCTATTCATTTAGTTTGAGGCTTCATTGGGTGCGATAATGCGTCCAATCCATGCAAACATTATTTACAAATAATATAATTTATCAACAATAAAAGCGTACGATTTTGAACTTTAATGCTTCACGTTAAGGACACAGTCCGATTGCAATTTAGTCGTTAAATCATGGAAGTATCACCAACGTAACATACGATATATTTAAGCATGTCTCAACACTAAATATTTAGCATGAACAAAATACACAACAAAACACAGGTATGATGTGGAACCTATGATTAAAAAAACACTTTAATATAACAATCAAAAGATATATTACACTGAAGTGACATTATGTAAATAAGGGTGAGTATTGCATATCAGTAATAAAGCTAGTTATAACTGAGAAAGATGATTACAGGTACATTGAAGAAGTGAAGACAGAACGCACGCAGGGACCTTCCCACACGATGCCTACCAACGCACAGAAGAAGAAGAACCCGATCATTACTGTGACGGAACACACACCTACGCCATCACCGGATTATTTGTCTAAGACTAGACAAGTAAGTAATATGAATAACTAGCTTTCGTCAGGGGCTTCACCAGCGCTCGCATGGGATAAGAGTAGCCTATGTTATGTTAATCTACACCGTAATCTACCCCTGTTCCGAATTTCATCCCAAAATCTTCAGCCGTTTTGAGGTGAAGAAGTAATAAATAAATAAACAAACATATTAACTTTCGTAGTTATAATATTAGTAGTATGGACAGTAGGCACTTATTAAAGTAGGTATTGCAGAGCCTTTTTGGCCTGTCATATGTTACTGTTGCATTTACGCGAAAACCAAAAAGACTTTCATGACGCAAACGATCAAACGGATCGCCTGATAGTACCTACCTAACGTTATTTTCTTTCTGAGGGCCAAGCACGAATAACTATCGCATTCGTATCGTAACAGTATCGAGCGAGTTAAGCGTTTTGATTGGTTGGTTCACTTGAGCCGGCCAATCAGAGCGCCGAACGCGCTAGATACTATTACGTTACGAATGCGATAGTTATTCGTGCTTGGCACTCTGTTCTTTATACTCTGCAAGAAGAATATTTACCGAAATACCTACCTACCTACTTCATTTTTTAATTTTTATTTCCACAAAATGTCATTTTCACAGGGATCACTGGAGTCTCAAATAGACTCAGTCAGCATGCAAGGCTCCCAACATATTCCGACGCCTGAACGCAAGCCAAGCCTGACTCGGTCGCAAACAGATTCCAATATAACATACGTCGTAGAAGAAATACAAGAGGCGCCTGGATCCATTCATTATATAACTAAAGATGGGGATATTGACTTCCAAGTGGTTCTCAAGGTTAGTTTATTAGGATTTATGCGATCTATTTATCTAAACAGATTATCTGACGTATTGTGAAAATTGGCAACTTTATTAAGTACAGTACCTACCTAGTTATTGATTTTCAACTTTATTCTTTTGTAATAAAGTCCAAAATTTCGTAACAGTTTTAAGTGTCTTGATTTACATACAGAAGTAAGTACATGAAGAAGAGTGGTTTGTATTGTAGTGACTTGCAACTATTTTATAAGTAAAATATTTTAAGAAGACTATTTGTTAGGTTCTAAAATCATCTATTCTTACATGTCAGGCGGTATACTCAGTGTCAACGATGGACAGTTTCTACATAACCCTCCGCGTCATGGAAGTTATGCTCAACTTAGTCGACACACTGATGGAAATGGGGGTTCACAAAAATTGGCAAACTGGCAAGAATGACGACGTGCAACCAGGGAATATTGACCCTTTGGGAGACTTTAATAAAGACAAGGACAGCAAAGTAAGTTCAAGATGTATATATAATCTTCTTTATATATAAAAATGAAACCCGTTTCCCGTTGTCACCCATAACTTGAGAATGGCTGGACCAACTTAGCTGATTTTTTGTTGTTGCATTTGTTATTTTAAGGAGAAGGTTCTTATGATAGAAAAAAATCCTGAAAATCTTATGTCGCGAGCAGAAGCTAATTGTAATATAGAAACAATAGAGTGACATTTCAATATTTTTTTTATAGGAAAGGGACTCTGGTATTCCATGCGCACCAAGCCAGGACTCCACAAACCTTGAAGGTGGAGATAGTACAAAGGAAAGAACAAAGGAAGAAGACAACATGGATTGTCCATATTACATGATCATGCATGTTATACTACGGTAATTACCTAGTAGTATTTATTGACTTGTGGTAAAAATGAACTATAAGAAAAATGTATCATTATTGACTTTTAAGACTGACCTTTGTTTTTCTATAACTCAGTTTGCAAACAGAAACAGTTTTGTAGGAAAGTCGACAATTCTTGAAGTTTGAGAGTTCAGAGCAACCTGATGCTGCCGGCTTTACATGAACACTGTTAATTGATTTTCTTTAATTCCTTCTTCAGTCGTTTTTCAACTTTAACGTTTGGAAATAAAGTACAAAATCTCTTAATGTTTAAGTCCTTTGAGGTTGACAGCTCATCTTATCATGCCACCTATACATATACATGAAGACTGATCTTTCATTTTCTATAACTTATTTTCTAGACTACTACGTCAGCTAGGCTGTTCACACGGTTGTACGACCGCTCTCCGCGGTCCTCAAGCAGAATGCCTAAGAGTTCAAGCACGGAACTCTCTCCGCCAACTGCGGGCAGCTTCCATACCCAAGTTTACGACCCGGTTGAAGGAAATGACCAAGTATGCTCCTATACGAGAAGTACTGGATAATTTGCATGCAGCCGTTGGGTTCTGTGCTGAACCTGCTACTTTGGTATCGCCTATGAGTAAGTACTAATTATTTATAATTTTATTCTTACGAAATTTTCAACAACAACCAGTAGTTTCGATCTTATCAGTATATAGTAGATATGTTGTGAATATTAAATAAAGTCTATACTTGTTGCTAAAGCAATAGAAGTCAAGACCACTCTATGAAACTATATGCCGCTGTCACAGCTACTTTGTTGAATATAGGGCCCTTTTATAATATAATGACGAGTACGTAATCGCATAAGGCCAGTTTTAATAGTAAATTCTTGTTCACAGACCAACAAAAACGTAGCAACACAAAGTCTCCTGACATAAGTAATCTGCAAACTGGTTACGCAACGAACTTCGGGGCTGGCCAGGGTCCGAATGCAAGCCGCGCTATAGAGACGTTCATAATCGAAACTACGTTCCGCGTACTCGTCACTCGGTTCGCTTTGATGCACAAGGAACTAAAAATGCTTGATAATTCTGTAAGTATTAAAACAAAGAATACCTTGAATAAGTTAACTAAAACTCGCGGGTTACTCACGTGAATATACTGAGAGAGAGTGAGCTGCGCGACGTCGCCGAGACCGCGCACGCTGCTCATGAGGAAGAACTCTAGTAGCGCTTTTCTCAGTATATTCACTTGAATGATTACGAGTTTTAGTTAATTTAGTATGTCTTACAATAGTTATTATAAAAACATTAAATAATTATTTTTAGGATACTGACCTGGCAAAGAAGCTAGCAGTTTACATAGTGAAAAATAATTACCGTAAAATATGAGTTAAATTATGTTTTACAGCTTACTTAGCTGTTTAACGAGGTGATTCGACCTAGTTTTAAGCCATCTCAGGGGCCATTAGTCATAGTATAGACTTACCCTTCTCTTCTCACCTTTTACCCTCGAGAAATAGTCAGTATCAACCAAGATTACTTGAACCAGTTACTAATATGTGATCTGTTTGTTTTTCTCTAGACGTTATATATGGAAGTTCGTCTGCTACTAAGCTACGTGCGCGAGGCCCACGGCGGTGAGTTCAGAGTGGTAGCATTCAGCGCACTTATGGACACTGCAGAAAGACCTGATAGTCAACAAAAGGAATCTAATATGCAAACTACTAGAGTTATCAGGTATGAAGAAATTGCAAAAAGAGGATCGTTATACATTTACTTTTCTTATGAAGCAAACAACCCTTACTTAGCTCTCATAGCAAATAATTACATCGACGTGTGTTTGCGCAAACTCTTAATACTGTTGCACATCAGTGTACTAATGCTAGTCCAGATAGATAAACTCACTTTTCCATTTGGCTGTCTCTCTTATAAAGACGCTATTGCAGGCACATTCCTCGTCAAAGTGAAGAGGAACGCGGTTCGGACACGGGCGCTGACTCAGGCTGTGCTCCTGACGAGAGATCACACAAGAAGTTCACTTTTAAGAAGAGGAGCACTTCATCTACGGGAGCACATGTAAGTAAATAATTAAATACTGTACATTTGTCCAACAATTTTTTTTAACATTTTGGTAACCGCTACCTCATCATGAGTTAATAATTAGCACCGCCCGTTGACAGCACAACTTGCATTATACGAATAGAGACAAAGTGCATTGTCAACCTTTTGGGGGAAAGCGGAATTATCCAGTGACGTCACTCACAAATTGAAATTATTTTTTATTACTAATTTCACAGAGCCTCTTAGAAACAGAAGGTGGTGAAGAATCAGCGAGTCAGTCTCCTTTATCAGTTCGTACGAGACGCTACCAGTTGACTCCGCGGCAGTCTGAGCGAACAATCCCCTCCGCGTCTTCTGCAGACATCACTCCACACCACAAGATTTCACACTCCAAGTCCATTCCCTCGAAGTTCCATATCGCTGGCATAGGTAAAATATTAAATTAGCTGAACAAATACTTTTCTGAAAACCACATTAGAGTTGGTTCAGCCTATCGTGAGATAATCCCGCGATATTGTTCGCACAAAAATACTTATATTATTTTTAAAGTATTAAATAAAATCAGCTTTGATATATTGACTGCGTTTATAGATCGTCTTTCTGACAATATACTTAAGATAAATTTTTGAATAACAAACTTAAGTGTTCAATACACACTCATATTTATTACAGTGAACTGGTTCCGTCAAAAGCCACATCATTCTCAATCGTTGATTCGTAATGGAGGTGGTTCTGGCGAATCGCTTCCGATCTCCGGCAGTATGATATCGTTGGCTAGACCTCCACATTTACCACCGCCGCATACATCAAGACCTGTGCATGTTAAACGAAGAGTTGGATATACATTGAACAGGTAAGACTGTTTTACAATTATTTTCGGATAATCTTCTTAAGGTGAACAGATGAGCTGAAAAAAGTCACTTTCAAACAGCCTAATAGAAGTCATTATTGAGGTCTTATATTTAGTAGTGGACGTCATACCCCTAAATTATTTCTGTGTCTCACCAGACTTCATCTTATCGTCATCATTTTTCGTTCATTCAAAGAAGAAATAAAGTAATATCCTGTTTATACAATTTTTGGTCGCTTTCAGGGCTCGGAAAAGGGTTGAGGATCGACTAAATAGGTTTGGTCTAAGGAAGATGGGAAAGAAGAGAGATGGCAGTATCGAAGACACAAGTGGTGGATGTAAGTACATTTATTTATTCAAAACTTTTCAGTGATCATATTTATGTCGTAAAAACTATTTACAGGATTACATGAACAGTGTAATACAAGATTTTTTTTTGGAGAAAGTTTGAATATTTTGAAATTGCTTTTGATAGATATACGGCATTAAGTCCGCCAATTTGACTGTATGTGCAATAAAGTTTTAATAAATAAATAAATAATAAATAAATAAATATATGGTAGCAGCGTTCTCTAATAAAGTTGAATCTGTTTAACTGCGATCTCCTACCCGGATGTCAATCATGGAAGTTATTGTAAACCCTCTTATGTAGGTTCAAATATTGTGCATATGAAAGGTTGATAATTATGTTTTCTGCTTTTAGATATGTCGCGGCGTGGCTCTGCAGAAGGCGGGTCAGGTGGTGGCGAATCAGAAGTCGTAATACTAAAGCGCCGTCGTCTAGTAGCGGCCGCGCCACTGTACGCAGGGCTGGCGAGGTTCAGTTTCTTACTAGATGCTACACAGCCAGGAGGAACGCCAGACGCACTTTTCATGGCTGCGTTATTAGATTTGGTAAGTAAACTAATTAATAAACTAACATTTTGGATCTAAAGAATGACAGTCCCCATCGTACTCCTTAATCGAGGGTACTCCGTGACGATTTTCCACAGTCATGAGGTTAAAGTTTTGGAACTAAGTTATGCTTTTATTGCCCTTTCCTGATAAGTTTTGGATGGATAGCAACTGTCATCTATACTTGAAAAATCACCAGATAAATTATTGTGAAGTTTTTACTTTTATATTTGTCTATAACTTGAAAAATATTTGAGTTTAGTTAACATTATATATTGTCTAATTTAGTATTACACTTTCAGCCCCATACAGTTGTAGTTGCAAGAGCAGCGATGTTACTAGAATGTGCACATTTGGTACATAACTGCAACAAGGGTCAGTGGCCTTACTGGCTTAAATCTAACACTTCTAAAGCTGCTGGTAAGCTAAAGATTTTTTTATTATTAATTTGACATACATTGAAATAAACTGTATATTAAACGAAATACTATTTTTCAGTATCTTTAAATCCTCAACTAAAGAGACAACGTCTGGCTGGAAAACTATTTTACCAATGGGCGGAGGTAAATATAAAGAACTCGTTTTCTCTTTCTCATTTGAAAGTTAATTGATATCACTTCTTAATCTCTAAGTCCAGGTTAGCCTGAAAGTCAGTAAATAACAAGCTACCTACAACTTAAACCACAAACTGTTCTTTTCAAGAGGAAATACGTAACCCTTACTTGAAATATTCTCTTACCTACTCTAGGCGCTAGGAAACCGACTGGAAGAAATGCTGATTGAAGACAAAAAGCACGTTGATACAGTTGTCAACTTAGTGAATGATCCTGATGGACAACGCGAACTTCTGCAGCAAGATGAAGAAGAGGACTTCCTTGATGAAGGTAATTATGAAAGTTCAATGTTCTGTAGTCACTTAACTTTATTCTCTAAATCGATGAAAATAGAATACATTATTATACAAATAAATTGTATCTAATTCAAGTTTAACCACTGTATGGATATTACCAAATTACCAATGAGAGTAGAGTTGACTAAACAATCTAGCTCATTTGGTATTTGTATTCTTTTTAAATCTTTAACTCCTGATGTTTCTCATGCATTTTCAATACGAAATCTTTCATCTTCCTGCAGCCAGTATCCGCCTGCCTGGGAAACCAGTGGGTGCCGACTGTCCTCGAGCTCTCAGAATAATTGCTTGCGTACTTCTATTCGAAATAACTGCGTTCCTACGCGAAACCTACCAGAACCTACCCAAGACATGCCGGTCCTCATTAAAGGAAAGAGGACCTTGGGACCGCGTTTACAGGTACTTAATTCCCTTGCACTTAAATTAGAAGATTAATTTTGGTAAGTAGCTTATTAATTCTTTGGTGTAAAACGTTTTATTTTTTGTCATTATGTTATGCGAAGATGGATGGAAAAACGACGTATTTTGTGTAAGACTAAGTGAGTTCATTATGTTCAGTTCATTTGAAATGTATTAAGAGGAGTGCATAATTATATTTGACAATACTTTTATTTTAACAGGGCTCTTAGCAGTCAACACACATTAATGCCAGTCGAGTATGTTTTCAAAAGAAATAATGCATGTTTCCTTGCATACGGCACTAAGCGTGCATGCGTATGTAGAATGTACATAATATTAAATAACATACACTTTTAAAATGGAAGTATTATGTGCAAATTTCACTTGGACCGATGTGACTCTTATAGCGAATATCGTTCACTTATTGGCAAATTTTGGCACTCGAGATTCACAACTGTAGCTGCATCTAACACCTATATTTCTAACATAAAACTTTCGACTGTATAAAATGTAAATAATTTTGTTTTTAAGTTTTCAAATAATACTTTGTTACATGCAGCTATATTTATGGCGATCTCCACGTTATTATTGATTTATAATAAAGAAATTCAAACAACGGTATAATGTGCATACGCACAGTTAATCTGCATGGAATGTTGTAAGATAACACCTAAATTGCTATCGATTAAAATTATTCTAAAATTTTACACAAATATTAAAAATTGTTTTGTGAGATACACCCTTTCAAAATTTTATCCAATAGTTTTTTATAAATGATAAAATAGTTTAGATGAAATTAGAAAAGAGTAAAAATGCTTTTGCTACATTGGCATGCGACATCAGACAGTAAGAATTGGAAGGAAATTGTATAGAGAAGAACATAGAAGCTAATTAAACAAAATAGCTGGTAAATGCAACTTGACTCGCTCGCGTATTTATAAGTTCATTGACGCATTGAAATGTGAATAATTTGGGTCACAGGGAAGCTAACCGTCGATGGAGTATGGCTCTATCGAGCATGGGCCATTCTCAGGCGTCTGCGCAAAGCTTGCAATCTATTGCGGGAGCAGAGACTGAGAGGAAAATATCGTTCGTCCTGCACGAACCTGAGAACGTATCTGGTGGGAGTAATGTAACCGTAAGTATTAGGATCTAATTTCGGTAAAGTTTTTATTCCTTGTTGTTTTGGCCATTTCGGTTGTCATCTTATGTCAACCACAAAATATTCAACGCTAATTCTAACATTCAGCATAACTTGATAATCAACTTAACATATCAACACTTAAATTAGATCTGAAAATATAGGAAATAAAACTCATATTTGCTTGCAGTTAGCGGACGCGATACCTCCAGCAGTTGACGACAAGAAGGGTCGTCTCGGGTCTCGTGGCAAGGCAGGCATGCATCGCCGAAACACACAACAAACGCACTCAGCTTACGGCTCGTTCAAACGACGATCCATAAAACTTAGGCAGAAAGACACTAGAGATGTCGTCGATGAATGTAAGGTCGTATTCAGTTAACCTAATTTTCAAGTACAAACATTGGTAATGAAAATTACATTGGTAATACCTATTGCAACCTATGCTAATATTATATAATCCAGTCTTACATAAATCTAAACATAATTAATATTATGGTATATTAACTTAATACACAGTGTAAATTATCGATATGACAAAGGTCTATAAGCGCGCCAAATTATATAGTTTTTACAATGAGATATTTAGATAATTATATCGTCTTTGTTCCAGTTGTAACAAGGAGATCTGATTCAATACAAAGCAGACGAAAGGTGTCTTCACTGTCTGATAGAAGTGACACTTCAGAAGTTTATCCAGGGGCAGGTAAATGACCAATCAGCATTTAAAAGAAATGCTTAATAACTATACTATAGAACGCGGCTATCAAATGTACTTATGATGAAAATCTTGTACTTACTGCAGGTGGAACTGTAATAATGTCAAATGAAGTGGACAGTGGAGGTGAGGAGAGTCCAGGAGTTCTTTCTGATGACCATGATCATCCTCCGGACAGCCCGGACAGCAATTCCACTGACCCACCTGATACTAATAAAGGATTTCCATGGCTCAAGGTCAGTTGATGAACCATTTATTAGTAAAAAGTCGACTGCTTATTGCTCCTATTCTTTTGTAATAATGTTGTTATAAATGTGTTCAACAGGTTATGGTGAAGTTCCTTAACTCTTTCAACTACGTATGCTGTCATCAGAACTTCTGCCATCCTTATTGCTTCCGTCGAAACATGAGAGCCAGTGTTAGACTCATGAAATCCGTTCAGAAGGTAACAATAGCATCATTTTAACTTGAATTTACACATTTTTATTAAGACTAATGTAGAGTACATTATAATCATGTTTTATAGATATATGGCGAGAAATTCGGTCCAGAAATTAATACGACGAGCTCTGATGAAGGAAACGGTGGGACGCGAAGAGGACGGCGGTCACGCAAGTCCTCTGAGCATTCCACAGATAGGTATACTCAGTATGAGCCCAATTTTTTCTATTATTCATTATTATTATTACACGTCCCAGTAAAAAACATTCTCAGACTAATTATTATACACTAATATTAATATTTGTTAATTAATAAATCCTTAGGATTGAAAGGTCAGTAATCGAAAGTGCTGGCTTAGCGTATAGGGCCGCAGGAGGTGAACAGACCAATGTTGCATCCGAAGGAGTACCTACAAAACCTGCCGCCATGCCATATCCTCCTGCAGATCCACCACCGATCCTCAAATATCTGAAAGGACAGGTAAGACTGGTTTATGAAATACCATTCTGATCACTCAGATTCTAAAAGTTTAACTGATCTCCTTTAGTATTTATTTAGTTTGTTTTAAGTAAGTTTACTTAAAGTAAACTTACTTTTAAGTAAGTTACTTTTAAGTAAGTTTACTTTAGTATTTATTTAGTATATTAAAGCTAAAGATCGAACTGGAACATTGAATCATGGAGTATGTAACCTTTTCCCAACTCAGTGGAATTCGGCCATCGTATATCAGATTCGGGTTATATGTATAGTCTAATATTTACGTGTATAAATTAAAAACAAATTCGTATTTTAGGTCCGAGACGCCTATCACACACCTTTAGCAACATTGATCAAAGGTGCGACCACTATGGGTGAAGAAATGTTCGCAGAATGTGCCCCCGTTGCGTGGCAGTTGTTGTTGGAATCTGATCGAGAACTAAGTTCCTGTGCCGCTGCATTGTTCATTCTCGCTGCAGTAAAAGCACCCAATACTGCCACAGAAATCATGCATAATGATTTGAAACATGCTGAGCCGAGTACCAGGTATGTCTAAAATTTTAAAAAGAGTAACGCAATCAATGAATAAAAAATACTGGAGAACCATGGAAATACCTATTTGAAATTACCATTTAAAACATACATTTTTACATGTCGTTGTTATTCACTTTCAGAATAAACGCAATCCTGAGATTCCAAGTAATGTGGAAGTTAAGATATCAAGTTTGGCCGCGTATGGAAGAAGGTGCTTCAGTGACTTTCAAAGTTCCGCCTCCAGGAATAGAGTTCACTTTGCCTTCTCCTAAAATCGGTATCGAATCGTTAGCTGTAGTAGACCCACCGTGGACCCCACAAGTTAAGGATAAAGACATGGAGATGACGTTAAATCAAGAAAGACACGTAAGTTTATAAAAAAGAAATTGTAATAATTTGTTTATGCGCGAAGAGAATGATTCGTGGGAATTTATACACTTTAATTTGTTTTATGTTTTTATTGCCGTGTTTAAAGTTTGCGCAAAACATACCCTGATGCGCAAGTGATGCGCTACCTAAGGTTAATTTTATAGATGAATCCTATGCAAACGCTGGCTTGTCCCCATCTGAATACAAAGCTTATCATAGAATGGACTTAGAGTATATTTTAAACTAACATTTCTTCCACAGCGTTCTCTGGTAACAGCAACGAAGACTCGTAAGAAACAGCAAACGGAGGCAATAAAACGAGCATTACAACAAAGAAATGACAAGAAACGTGCGGAACGAGAGAGTTTCCTCATTACAACTATACCAATTACAAGGCAAGCGGCAAGGGAACCAGCGTTAGATCATGCTGCAGATGATCATGTTGACCGTAAGTGTTTTATAATGCAGGTTTATACCAGAATATTACTACATTTTTGTACGCTTGTTTTTGATAAGGTTCGATAAACGGTTTCTATCTTTCCTGGAAACTAGAGAGGAAGTATGAGACAGTTGAGTTACAGTTCTATCATCTTATGTTTTTTGTAGAAACAGATTCGCTCTGATTGGCCGGCTCCAATGAACCAACCAATCAGAGCGCCGAACTCGTTTCGATTACTTTAAACGTAAAACATCGCGTTCTTAGACCTCAGAACTTATGATATGACTGCAATATATCAATGAAATAAAACGATATTTTTATTTTTTGTAACAGTGTATGCAGAATTCTTTATAAAAAATATCTTACCTGTCTAGAACATTTAGGTACGATAGTGTGGATTTTGAACCATAAATACTTTTATCCTCCAGCACCAGCAGATGAGGAATTGGTAGAAGGTGTCCGTGGATCCCATCATACACAAGTAGCTTCAGCGCTCTTCCCTTCGACTTTGTGCTCGGCTGTGGCTGAGATCGTGTCGTTACTAGACGATGCTGCTGTTTCAAGAGATGGCTGTTCCGTTTATGAAGTCGCTTACCAGGTAATTAAGTATTGTTAACAGTTTTCCTTTAATTTACTGGAGTATTTTTATAAAAGTAAACACTGATAAAATTTGCATTTCTATAGGTTATAAATATGTTCAATTCTCATAAGAACGCATAAGAATTTATTACACAATCCAGTTTATGAAATCAATGCTGGGCAAGCATTTTAAAGAACTTGCTCTTATCTGGTAACACTTGAAAATGTCCACATATTTAAGTTCTTCAATCATATCGTTTTCCACAGGTGATCTGGTGTTGTCTCGTCGAAGACTCAGCGCTCTTTCTCCGACATGTTCTTGAACGACTAACTCGAGATCATCAGGACGAAATGTTCAAGTTACTGAGACATTTAATTCGGTTCATACCAAGGTTACCACAACAGGCAGCGTTCGCACTGTACAACTATATCATAGGATACGTCATGTTCTACGTAAGGAGTCCCCATGAAGAAGGACAAAGGCTGGTCGGAGCTGCATTGTCGATTCTGTGGATGGTAAGATTTTTGAAACGGATTACAAGAACCCGGAAGGAACTTATACTATATTGTATTTAAGAATCGCAAAGGCAGAAACTTAGTAATTAATCATTATTCTGCCATAATATATTATATTCATTATTCTGCCTAGGCAAAAGCTTACTCTATTCTCGTCCACAACCGCTTGTCCTTGCAAAAACCAACATATCAAGATCCAATTTCTACTCTATGTCTGTATTTTTGGGTATAATTTTATTTTGACAAATTAGACAGGTGTTTAAATATACATTTTCTTTGCTTTCAGGTGGTCCACAGTGTCCACGGTATAATGTTTAAAGATTTGAAACAGATATTGCGTAAAGAACAATGCGATGCGTCCATATTGCTTACGGCTAATGTGCCCGCAGCAAAGAAGATTGTCGTTCATGGCCCACGTGAGTACAAAATTAATAATGAATATTCGAAACTTTAAATTGAAAACTTTATATTCCTGTAATTCTAGAATAATAAAACTTTCATATTCAGTTCAATTAATTAATGGTTTTTGTATTGTTTTACAGCTGACAATGAAGGTTGCATACCATCTCAATTCCCAGTTCAAGAAGATACGGTATTTGCGCAAATCCTGAAGGAGTCTTTAGATTTCTTTGGCATCCCAGAAAAATTACATAAAGAACATTTCCTTGTTGATTTCAAAACACGTAAGTATCTCACATCCCGAATGTCTATTACCAATGCCAATAACCAGGCACTTTTATTAACCAAGTAAAACTCGGTCTGTTAACTCTTTCAGTCTTGGTGGTCACTGTAGCTAACCACCTTTTCTTAGAAATTCAATTTTTGAAGTATACTTCAAATTAGTTTGTATTGGTTTTTAAGCATTTCAGTATTATTGAATAAAATATATTCGTAACCAGTTAAAAATGTGACTGTAAGAGTTAAGCGCCATTGTTTTACGTTTCTTTGAATGTTCCTTCTTTCGCAGGTCAAATCCACAATCCGCAAGGCTACGTGCGTGACCATTACTTCTTCAAGCGCTCGCAATACCCACAGCTCTGCCTCGTACACATGGAACCAGACGAAGCGTTCCAAAAACTCCAAGAACAGGAACTATTGCAGAAATTCGTTGAAATCGGAAAAGTGTTGCTAACTTGGGCTATTTTGAAAAATGTTGACATGGTTCGTACATACCTTTTGTATTTCTTATTTTCTTAATTTAGACTATTATTTTTATTGAAATTTTGACACTTTTTGCAAACGGAAAGCACTCAGTTAAAAATAGTTATTGACAAAAATATTGACACCATACATACAATCAAGCGATCCGTCGCTATTCCATAAAAAAACATTACATATTTTGGTATTTTATTTAATATGTTATGTAAAGTGCTCCTTAGGCGCTCATGAAGTCGCGGAGAACCTAACGTGTAACCAGGGCTCCGGCTCGACGTGCAGGAAAAGGAACGGGGTGGTTTTTAGTCAGTAAGAGTCTGACACTCCCTCCCGCTTCACTCAGGCGGGAGCAGGCACTCGATGATTTTCCCCCCTTAAAAAAAGGCGCTCATGAAAAGCATTTGTAGCTAAAAAAATAAAATAAAATCATTGTTTCAGGTGGTACAACGTGTAGTATTTCTTCACGACGAACTGATGAAGCTACCGTCGTTTCCCCGCAAGGCTTTGGAAGCTGACTTAGTTCTATACAGTCGAGGAGCCTTAGGTTCCACTCTGCTAGGCCTAGATGTGTTACATAAGTTCATGTAAGTCTAATTTATTTTATTTATGAGGTAATTTTAAAGAGAAATATCAGAGATATATCAGATAATGCTATTAGCATTCAACCTCGTTGAGTGGTGCAGAAGCAAACATTGTCATTGTACCGTGAATGTGCTAAGGAATTACTTACTTACTGGTCTTCACTGATCAATCGCCAAGCGACCCCCGGTGACCACTCTACACTAACTCCACTATAAACCTTATTTCCGATGTTTAGAGACTACTTTTCTATGAATAAATTTTGGGGATTTTTCATAATCGAACATTTACGAGTTAAAACCTTGACTTCATGCACACACACCTTTAATCTTACTTTTAAAACTATCTAAAACATTTGACTACAACCTTTTCTTATACATCACTTTTCCATAATTTAATAGATGTAGTATCGTCGGTATTACTACCATAAGCAGGTTTATTAAAACTATGCAACAAAATTGACTGCCTCGTTGGCTGAGTGGTTGCAAGTGCGACTGCTGGGCAAGGGGTCTCGGGTTCGATTCCCGGGTCGGGCAAAGTATTACGGGGTTTTTAAAAAAAATCTCAGTAGTAGCACGGAGTCTGGAATTGTACCCGGTATAATAGGCTCACCCCCTATTACATGGGACTAATAATAACATAAATAGTGAAAAGTGGGTGTTACTTCTGTGTGCACCTCTGCCTACCCCTTCGGGGATAAAAGGCGTGATGTTATGTTATGTTATGCAACAAAATTGACATGGGTTTTTATATTTTTGCTAGGTTCTTTTAACATTACATTCTCCTAACATAATCTTAAATTTACAGGTGGGTTCGCCTCATAGCTCGTATGTTCGAGGCGATGGCCGGTAACTTTACATCATCTCGCGACATTCACTTGTTCCTAAACGTCCTCAACGGAGCTCTCATGCTGCATAGTGAAGATTCTCTAATACTGCGATATGTAATCGCTACTTATGTCAATGCTGCTTTCAATTTTAAGAGCATTTTCTCTACTAACGGGTAAGTTGAAAAATAGTCTTTATATCTTAATCATAGAGTTTACAATTGATATTTATTTTTTGTCATATGGTTCCGGAATCTATATAATGAAATATTGGTGCCTACATTACTTCCGAATCAAATACACTCTTCTGTTGGTTTGTTCTAATATGTCCAGAACATACATATGTATACATACATTGATGTTACAAAATTTGGTTTATTGACGTCAAAAGTCTGAGGACAACACACGTGTGGAATTAGAGCGGGCCATTAATTATATTAAATGAAATGTATCTTTCCAGGTATTTGCTTATCATGCCAACTCTACTGCAAATATATTCCAACTTCCAAACAAATAAACTGGTAACGACCACGATAGAGTACGCCGTCAAACAGTTTTACTTGTTGAACCGAAAGCCGTTCATACTACAAATGTTTGGTTCCGTGTCCGCCATTTTGGATACAGATGAGGAATCTACTTATGGAGATGCTAGTAAGGTAAGAATACATTTTTTGATAAAATATTTTACATCCGAAATACTAAATAGAGTATAAGGCGTACTAATTTTTTTTATTATTCTTATTTGCATATGAAAACTTGATTAATATTAACAAAGTATTTAAAATGCAAGTTTTTATATTAACAGAAATTGTCTATACGCCTTCTGCTATTAAGGATCCTATTATGGCTCGAAACTAGTTGAGCATTCCCGAAAATACGGAATTATTTGTGCAATTAAATACTTGCAAATAAATTAATATATTAATAGTAGACTTGCTAGCATTATGTTTTTAAGGCGTTACATAAGTAAACAGCAAATCCATATCAAACCTTATTACCAATTCATTAAGGTCCAATCCAGCTGCCTGTTCAACTTACTCCTAAGTCTGGAGACACCGTCTCCTGACCCGCTTCATATCGCTGAACTAATCAAGGAAGAGAAGCCACTAAAGCCGATAGACTTCTGTTATCGTGATGAGGAGGAGATGGTGAATGTGTTGGACTGCATCAGCCTTTGTGTCATGGTTGTTTCCTATTCTGCTGAGAGTATGAGGGGGTATCAGATGCTAGTGAGTACAATTTGAGCTGTTTTGACTTATATTTTAGGAATGTTGCGTTTTTTTTTTATTTTAGTAAAATGTTAGCTATGCGACTGTATTACAATCAGTGTAGATACTCCTGAATAGGTCAAATATTAGACACTAGATTAAAACATAACCTATTACAGATCATATTGGAAGCAATACTACCATGTTACGTAAAACAAATACAACTGCCAACATACAATCGCGAGGGGAAGACGGAGAAGGAGATCATCCAACAACTCGCAATTGCTATCAAAACGCTCGTCAACAACTGCGAGGGACTTTCTAAGTAAGAGCTGAGATATTCTTACTAAGTTATGACCGCTTTACTCCTTTAACTCACAGCTCCTTATTAGATTCTTAGCCACCAGTTACTCGGTTCTTTACTTAAAATTCACATACACAAGACACCCAGGCCCGAATCAACAAGAACTCAATCACACACTTAGTTGTTCCGGGTGGGAATCCAACGCTCAAAACTTTATGCCAGCCGTACAGTCAAAGATAAACAATATACACAGAAAACAATGTAAACGAAACGTCATTACAGCAAATCAATGTCCAATTATACCTCAGATTTTTTCTAATGATATAGTTCTTTCTAATCGGTCTTTCCATCTCTAATATTAGGTAGGTAAAAAGAGATTTTACAATATTTATAATCCTCTCATAGATCGTACAACGGCCCTTATAGAACGTCTCCGGAACATAAAGGTTCGTCACAGAGGACGGGGCCACGGACGGCTGCGGCTACAATCATCGCATTTGAGGAGTCGCACTCTAAGTACGATAACTCTAAGATGCCTGTTCCTGAGTATACTGGCGCTGAAGACTCGGAGGTGAGTAGCTACTTATATTAAAAAAATAAAATGTTTAATCATGTATGAATGTAGAATGTAAATACTTAATTTATTTTCAAATAATTAAAGTTTTATCATCACTTATGGTTTGAGAATAAAATCATACAACAAACTGCCATTGTTGTATGCATGGCTTTTGGACGATACCAATATGTTTTGCTTATATTCAATTGAATCTGTTGCAAAAAAATTATATAGTTACAAAATAATGTCATTTATTTCACTTTTAACTCATCTAAAATCCTATATTCTTTTTTCAACAGCTGGTTCGAGCAGAGTATCGTAGACCACGCGATGTTTTACTCTCACTAGTTGGCGAATTCATCGGCCGAGCAACTAGCCGTTTGTTAGAAATCAACGGATCTAACCGGAGTGGCGGCACTGAGGGTAAACCAGTTGAATTGCTGGATTCCAAGTCACATGCTGTAAGTTGACATCTATAAATACTTACTAATATTATAAATCGGAAAGTGAGTTTGTTTGTTTGTTCCGATTTCACGCAGTAACTATTTAACCGATTGCTTTGAATTTTAGCAGACGTAAAGTTAGAAGTCTGGATTAAATAATAGGGTACTTTTTATCCCGGAAAAATTTGATATTCCCGAGGGAAAATAAAAGTATTGGTATAGATGGCGCTGTATGTACTGGTATATGTCACATAGGCTACTTTATATTCTTTTGTGACGCTAGCGAAGCCACGGGTAAAAGCTAGTAATATATAAAAATATAAAACAAGACTATATAAAAATATACCATGCATATAGAAATTACTTAATAACTCATGTGACACAAGAAGATCGACTCATTGCTATCAGGAAATTGCAGCGTCCGCTTATTCTGTTAACAAGTCTTTCTAACCAATCTTCTAAAACCAACGATCATGACCACATTATTAATTCTGCAATACATTCATTTCAGCGACTAGCAGAAATAGCACACTCTCTACTGAAAGTGTCTCCTTACGACCCGGAGTCCATGGGCTGTAGGGGATTACAGCGATACATGACGCAAGTACTGCCTGCAGCCGACTGGGCCGACGACGCCTTACGACCGGCACTTATCATGATACTAAGAAGACTTGATAAAGTGTTCCTCAAAATCGCTAAGAAACCTAGCATCAGGGTAAAATTGTCATTATATTTCGATCTTGTATAGCGGATATAACTTGACTAACTGTGCATATAATGTTATTTTGTTTACTTCATTCCTTTCTACATACATATTTTCAGAGAAACACCGATTGGGATTCCGCTGCAGTTTTATTGAAAGGAGTTTACGAAACAATGATACGGTGTCCGTACATAATGCATTGGCAACATGTGAAAACTCTTCTCAATACTGTACAGGTAAGTCAACATATTTATAATAAGTTAACAAATAAAAAAATTGTTAAACCTATGTGCGTTAAACTAGAGATTAGCCAATTGAGAAACAAATGCCATTCCTTGCCCTTTCATTGATTCTTTTCCACCAACCTTCCATTGTTTCCAAAAAATGTATGAATATGAAATAGAAATTTTTATAACATATTATTCTTATCACAGGCCCTCATAGTGTCAGACAACAACAGTGGCGAGAACTTATCATCGGCGACTGCAGCACTAATGTCGCAGCCACCCCCTCCACATTTCTGCAGTACTGTCGTACGACTAATCGCGTTGCAAATCATTAATACAGGGGTACGTATTAATAAAACACGAGACAACTGACTAAACATAAAATAGAAGGAAGTCGCATAGTCATGAATTCTTCTGACGTCGATGATTCATTGTCGTCAAACTATTAACCATAACCCGATTCGTATTGGATAGTGTAATAGATACAACAAATATTGATTACAATGTACGTTTTGGATGTATTGGCTTTACTAACAACACATTTTAATCGTTTACAGGATAGTTATTCTTTGGAACAAATGTGTGGAGGCAGCGCATCGTTCCCTACGGGAGAAAAAACTGAAAACATGTTGATGAATCTATTCATGCCACTCTGTTTGCGCGTTGGAAGTGGTAGAAAAGGTAAGTTATTAATTTTTCATGTATACAGTTCTATATAATCTGACAAGAACTGATATGAATGAGAATGAAGTTTTTCAAGTGCATTTTTGTGCATTTTTGAAAAGAAATACAAATGGTTATGTTTTGAAAATCATCGACGTCAGCTTGTTCAAATAACTGCGCAAAATCTTTAATTCTATTTTAAACCATATTCCTTTTGCAATTGAGTTGAATCTATATTTTAGTATACCTGTATACATAATATATAATACGATAGTCACACCTCTTTAACTATTTCTTTACAGACGTACCACCTCTGCGTCAATCAGATGTAAGCTACCTAGTATCGGTAGTACTAAACGCACTATGTCCCCCGGCGCCGCCCGGACAACTAGCTGCAGTGAACGCCAAGCTCAATGCTTCCGACAACCGCGCCAACTCACTCACATTCACTGGCAGTAGAGATGCAAGGAATACTACACGATTGTCTAATCAACTGTATAGGATTGCTTTCTTAGGTATGTAAATGTATCATTGTATGGTTGTTTTATTCTGAGGTTGACATTGTTATTTTTGCTGTACCCAAAGAGTGAAAACGCGCCCCTTATTAGGTACTAAGCTCTGTCTGTTACAATGTTATAAATCCCATATAACTGATTATCATATCTATTACCATCCATTGGACATCTCCCGACAGCAAAAAAATAGCGAAGAGTCTCTGCTTTGTAGTCTCATTGCATAATTATATACTGTCTATCTGGTATTTGGTGTTTTTTTTTTAAATAAGACGTCCCCACACTTGGATTTTCTCCTGTATCGTGTGTGCGTTTACAGACATACAAGTTCACATACATACATATTGACTGCACGGTTGGTGCGGTGGCTGGACAACCGGCTGCCGTGCAACGTGTTGCGGGTTCGATTCCCGCACGGAACAACACTTTGTGTGATCCACAAATTGTTGTTTCGGGTCTGGGTGTGATGTGTATGTGAACTTGTATGTTTGTAAACGCATCCACGACACAGGAGAAAATTCTAGTGTGGGGCAACGTTTTAAAAAAAATATGACACCCAGACCCGGAGCAACAATCTGTGGATCACACAAAGAGTTGTTCCGCGCGGGAATCTAGTGCAAGAGACAATATTATCTCCCCTAACGTATATCTAACAAATACCTATTACATATCTACTTTCAGCATTGAAAGTAATGTGTGCATGCTTCACAAGTGAGCTATGTACGGAGTGGGGTCGTATAGCGCGCGCCATGAGGGACCTCGGCCGCCGGAACGAGGCCGCGCACCATCTCTGGGACTTTCTGGAACATGTCGTCACTTACAGGACGCCGCTGTATATTCTGTTACAACCGTTTATTGTGCATAAGGTAAGTGTTTTATATTTTATAGCTACCGAAATACTGTCGGTATTAATTTTGACAAAGAACCTCAAAAATGGGCTGCTTAATATTGAATTTAATTCATTTTGGAACAATTTATTTTTGACTGGTGAAACTTTAAAATTATTGACTTCCGGTAACTGGTGCTACTCAATTGGATCACTTGACAGTAATGTGTAGGTATTTGTCGATAATTTCAAGATTAGACATAACATAACATCTAGCCTTTTATCCCCGAAGAGGTAGGCAGAGGTACACATTACGGCACTTAATGCCACTGTACAACGTAACTTAACCCGCTTTTCACTACTTATGTTATGAGTCCCATGTAATAGGGGTGACCCTATTGTCATATACTGAGCACATTTCCAGACTCCATGGTACTACTGAGAACTTTTTTTCAAGAGTAGAATTTCCAACGAATATCAGGCAAGACCTTTTGTAGCCGTTGGTTCACTGGTCCTGGCCTGTCACGAAGTCATTGGCCTATGTTCAACATTGGAAACCTTGTGGCTGATATGAAACTTCCCATTTATGTTTATAGCTCTCCCAGCCACCAATCGGTGACAACGAGCGCCATATGCAGTTTGTAGTACGGGAGCGAGTACGAGGACTCAAACTGCCCGCCGCACGGGCCAGGGGGGCGTTACTGGCTGAACTAGCAAGGGAACTCAGGCATATGAGGGATACACATGATCAATATAAGTTTGGTTAGTAAACAGTTCTATTTTAATAATATACCGTGTTTTTAATATCAATTTGATAATTAAAGCAGTGTTTTAGTCATAATGGTAACCATTAAGATCTTATACGTATCGGTTTCTGTATAATTTTGAGTAGATTCCTTCTATGATTCTTAAATAGCTACATTAATTTCTGTTTAACGAGTAGCACTTTCAACTACACCACACCTTCATAACAATTATAACTTGAAATTTCACTTATAGAGCAAATAGCTGAAAACCTCGGCCAGGCGGCTGGTAAACGAGCATCGGAAGTATTCCCTCGTACTACAACAGTACCGGACAAGCACCAACAACACAGACCCTCACTTATATCCATGTTGGTGGGACGCGGGGGAACTGGAGGGTTACCGCGCACTCCCGACCATCCTTCTGCACCGTTGTCTGCGCAAAGAGGTAAGAAGAAGAACATACTTCATTTTCATAGTAAAATCGTCCATACATTAATTTATTTGCGTGATTCACAAGTTGTCATTTCTGAGTTTATGTGATATGAATATAGATAAATATGTAAATACTAATTACTACGATTATTACAGAATCACTATCAAGCAGTTCGACTACAAGTCAGCACATGCCGACGTTCGAGGCGCAGCTCAATAGCGGCCGAATGAGTGACAACAGTAATAATAATGCTGGCAGTGGCAACTCTCATATGGGTAAGAAATATGATGGTAAGATGTTTCCAGTGCCTTTTAAGTCTGGTGGAAATAGCAGTGGATGTATCTCAGCTGATGATGATGATACCTACTATCAGTAGTACCTAAAGAATATCTAGATACCTCCAAAAAATTAACTGAGGAACTTCCCATGTCAACATAAATAACCTCTTTGTTTGTTTCTCACAGGTTCATTGAATAACTACGGAAGTGATAAGCCTACCGCTAGTACGCCGTCCTACACAAGTACACAAACGAAACTGCGATTTGTTCCTTCGGTTGAACTGAAGTTCACGAGTGGTAAGTGTTTAGTTAATAGGTACCTATTTATATTTTGAGGGCAAGTAACAACAGTCAAAGCCACCAGTTGGAAAAAGATCAAGAGAGATATAAGAATTACCTATTTCCCTCACTATGAACTCAAATACCTACTTTATTATGATGGTGAGTGTGATTGAGTAAATAGCTAGTAGTCCATATCGACAATTTTAAATTTTAACGGACTTTTTCGCATACCTACTAATACTACTGATTTGAATCGACATAGACCTTACCTTTTTACTTACACTCACAGGTGAAACATCAATGAGTCCACTGTCCCCGATGTCTCCGGGAGAAGCATCTTGTGGGGAGAGTGTTCCAGCGCGGGCCTCCCTGGACAGCGACATGTTGGTGGGAGATCACTCCGACACTCCCGACGCTGGGGAACGACCTCGGCTACAACGAGCACATGGACCTTCGAAGAAGACTTTCAAATTCCGACGTAGTAGGCACACGAAGCCGGATGTAAGACCTAATATACTTTTAAATTATTTTTTTATGTAGATTACTGGCTACTTCTACCTAACATCTCTTACTTAGACTCTTACAAACACTGTCTAAGAGTCACTCAATTTTATTGTGTGATGAACTATGGAACACAGCACGACTCATTCGGACTGATAGATATTTCCAATGATTCTATAGTTTGGCTTTCAAATCGATCTTTAAACCTGCTTTCAATTTATCATACTTCCTTACTTACACAGGTGAGCCACGTCCGCCTGGAATCAGACGACGGTTCCTCCCCTGGGCCAGAGACTACTCCTCTACGCCGCGCCTGGTCACAGCCACCCTTCCTACAACCAGCCTACATCAACACAGACACGTCATATGACAGTGAAATCTCGCAGACGTCCTCCACGTCTGGATACAGGCTAGCATTACCCAACCTTCAGTAAATAGACGACCAATACTAGGTGTGGTCAGCATGCAGTCTCGATGTACAAAACCTTACGAAACGGGTTTATGTCGGCATGGTTGTCAGTCATCTGTTGTGTGTGCACGGAAATTGCGAGTGGTTATAAAATTTGTTTATCAATTCATTTGTTTGGTGTTTTTTGGAATCATGCTTTACGTTCTACCTACAGGTATCTTTCAGGCCGGAAAGTATGAGTGTGATAATTTCAGTGTTGATTCATATACTCTTTGAAATTACACAGGTTAAAAATATTACCTATGCATATCATTAAAGAATTATTACCTACATGATGTGATGATAGTAGGTACGTGTGAGAGCGCGTATCCATGGTTGTATGTTGCAGGGAGAGCTACAGCCTGCAGGCGTCGATGACGGAGTCCCCGGGCGGCAGCGCGCGCGTGGCGCTGGCGTCGCCCGAGGCGGGCGAGGCGGGCGCGGCGGCCGCGGACGGACGCTCGTGCAGCGCCACGCCGCACGCCAGCCCCGACGGTAAACAACCCTTCGTATGTACCGCTCTACTTATACGCAACCCCCCGCACTCTCGTCTCTCTATCTCTTTCCGCCTGTCGCCTCCGAGCAGTCTCCTTTGTCGTGAGTTATCGTTCCGTCTTTGCTTTGTCATTTCCAGGTGATTTAGCGATGTTATGTTACAATTTTGTGCAATCTTCTAACTTTTTGGTAATGCGGGTGTCTTAGTGGCGCCAATGGCTTACCATCCAATGATCAGTTTGCTCATTTGCCACTCTATACTATAAAAAATATTACAATAGATAGAGAACAGATTTGATTATTCATCAAAATTGGTACCAATAAAAAAATTGTAACATTTCATCACTAAATGATCCTTTCTTTTCAATGTTGCTGCTTTTGTATTTTTAAATAAAATTATTGTATAGGAAATTCATACTAATGCAATGTTTTTCTGCCTAGCTTCTCTAAGCTGCGAATCGGGAACATCGTCTGCAGAACGGACCGCCTTACTTGGTGCTGCGAGTCAGCGTTCTCTATTGTTGAGTAGCGACTTGCGAGATGAAGACACTCTACTTTGAATACTCATTTCTATTCAACAATGGCATCTGCTAATGCTAGTTTAACAAACACTGAAGAAAAGTAAAAAAATTACAAGGGTTGAGGTTTTGAAACCATTCGAGAGTTGTTGACAATTTTGACTGAAATGATAATGGCTAATAATAGCGTAATTTGCATTCCTCTTTTGTATGGTTATAGAAATGTCTCACAAGTTTAAATACAAAATTAGATTTATCAAGCACAAAACTTGAAGTTCTATAGTTCGAATCCATTGTACTTTTTAGATAAATCACTCAAGGTGGTAACCAGATCCAATTTGTAACACCAAATAAATAAAAGTTAGACTTTTGAATGTTATTAGTAGTTTAATGTCGTCCTTAGATATCTATTTAATTATTGTTATAACTGTCAATGAATACTAGTCTAATAAATTAATAAAATAGTTAATATTGATAGTGATGTCATAGTTGAAATACTACAGAGTCTAGTTTAATAAGTTCCTAAGTTACATTTTTAGAAAATTTTAATAGACACTTTTGTTTCTAAAACCTTGTTTCATTTCATGCTAATAAAAACACCATTTAAAAAAATACTAATTGTTTATTATCACAAATCATGCTTCTTTACACATCAAAAATGGCTGTAATGCTACTTGAATATCAGGATCCAAGGGTATTTCATGTATGTACTTTGAGAAAGTAATGGCAATCTTATAAATACTTCTTTTCACTGATGAGATCAGAGCAGTCTTCATTTTAATGGCAAAACTATCATTCAAAATATGCTTCCTCGGCACCAGGCCCGGTTTTGTCAATTTATCCAGATTTTGTTTCAGGTTAATTAAAGTTGATATAACAATAGGCAAGTCATTCTGAACAACTCCATATTTGTCTTCATTCAATGAGGCAGCGGCAATACTAGCTAAACCTTCACAAGTCCACATCACTGGCTGAGCTTGCATCAACAAAAACTTTAATTTAGTGTCAGTAAGTTCCCCAAACAAATAACTAATACCAGGTTTTTGACAAAGTTTGTGAATAAACAAATTAAAATCGTCTTTAACAGCATTTATAAATGTGTCCTCTTGTTTGTTCTTATTGTGATCCTTCAGTTCTTTCAATTTAGGAGATTGTGCCATATTTCTCAGATTTCCGGAGAATTTAAATCCATTACTTGTTGATACATTTCCATTTCTTAGTTTGGATGCCTCTGCTTCATTAGATTTTCCATCCCCATTGACAGCCTCCAGTTCTTTACTGAAGTCATTAATAATGCTGATGCACTGCTCCAACAAGTTGTTCCAATTCCTTGGGTGTCCACCAGGTTGAGAAAGTGTGTATATCTGTTGCCTCCTTGCCAGATCAGTCATTGACATAATTCTCAAATCTTGTGCTCCCAAGTATCCATTAAATTGTGCTCTCAGAGCCAAAGCATTGTGTAGCACCAAACTCGAAGAAGATTCAATGGGGAATTTCATTGGCTCAGTAAGAACAATGTTAAAAATAGTTCTCATTGTGTAAACTGACACAAAGAACAGGCTTGTGTAAAACCAAAGTCCAATCCAAATTCCAGATTTCATCAAATTAAAGACATTGTCTAAAGGAGGGTCTTCTAGATACAAGCTATATGCCTCCGACACTAGGCTTCTTGGTTTATTTCCCCACAAATAGTAAAAAGCACAGTAATAAGCAACCGGCATCACTGCATTCCTAAATCCCATTGAGAGAATATTGTTAACAGCCAATTTAATTTGCTGGAACTTGTCTTGGTAAACATGAGGAAACATAAGCATTGTAGTTCCAAAGATGTGAATGTTCAAAAAATAATACAATCCCATCCACATGCCTCCAAACTGGAGAAAAAGACTTGGCTCTACCAGACATTGGCCATCATAAAAGTCGCACTTTTTCTTCAATATGTTGTAATTGCTTTTTGCCAGAGATGAGTACAAGCCCATAGTAAAGTAACCACTGAGTGCATACAGTACACTGAACATAGCATTTTGTACGGAAAACATAGTCAAGAACATGGAGAACCTGGTGAAATATTTAGGCAATGGCATCATGTAGTAACTTCCATAAACATAGGCTTGAAAAAAAGAAACCAATATAAGCAAAACGATGTTTAGTCCCATCTTCCATCCAAATGTATCGTGTAGAGTTGAAGTAATCCATGACACGGGATGCAGAATATCCACTTGTATTAGAAAAACTAGAACAACGGCAAGAAACGTCTGGAGTCCGATGTTCCATAACACTGAAATAATGAGTCTCTTGGAGAAAATATCACTTTGTGTTTCCATGACGGCCGTTATTTTTTATTTCCTCACACTTTTTCGTTTATTATTTCAACTTGATGAAACGAACTGACATAGTTATAAAATGTGCTTTCTGTACTTTATGAGCCTCCGATTTTCAACTTGATAGATAAAGAGGCAAAGGCCAGGCTAGCGGCTTTTTAAAAAAATAACCTACAACGAATTCAAAACGAAGTCCAACCGCACGAATCACAAAAATAACCAAACTGTGACACTGACATCAACTAACATGACAGACAGGAGTTAAAATGACAATTGAAGATGATGATGTTACAGACAAACAATAGACAACAAACAAATGGGGCTACCGTTTTTTTGCTCACCAAATGGCGCAAATCTAGGTAGATAAATTTATCCAATAACTGCAGCTATCAAATATCAACGTCCAATGGTGTGATACTAGCTAATTCCCTATAATAACCAGAGGTTCACGTTAGCGCCATCTCGTGAGTAAAATAACTGTAGTAGGTTGAGATTTTCTGATGTATTCATCAGAGAGTTATGCTGCTGAGCTGCATTGCGTTGACAAAAATATTTCCTTTTTTTTCAACGTCCTTCTTGATATAAAATTGTTACTTTTTAACCGTAGCGTTATTTTGAAAATTATATCCGTGTTCTGAATATTGTTATTAAGTAATGAGATCAAAAGTTTAATGGTTTCGTTTTATAGGGAAATGGTTTTAAGTCATCAAAAATAAAAGGCAATTCATTTGATTCATATGATAATAATAAACATAAACTGACAGTTTATTCTGATGTCATTGAACATAACTATTTTTTTATCTGTGTCGAATTGTCGATGTCGATGGATGTGCTTTGCTTTCGCTTCTACTATTTTTAAAATGATATCGAAATAATCTGAATTAAACGGTGGTGATCAGTGAAATACACTACATACTTCATTTATAATTAAAGTTACAGTTAATTTGATTTCCTATAAGATTTAACTCAGTTTATGTGGTCGCGTAGTCAAGTGCCCTACATTTCAACACTTTTTATTCAAATGGAAGAGAGTTGTGTACATATAGTGTTTCTGTTTAAGGGAGTAACTTAATGTTAGGTTTGGGATGGAATATTTGTTTAGGATATCGTCAGGTCGGTTAGGCATTGATTGAGAAACTCTTGTTATGTATACTTTAGTAGAGATAGCTCTTAGTGTAGGGGTGCTTGTGACTCTCGTTACAGCACTCGCAGTATGTGTCTGTGGCTGCAAGAATTCCAATCAAAAGTAAGTCCTTGTTTATTTACATATTTATTTATTTTACACCATTACCATATTTGGTTATATTACCTACTCTGTATAACAGAACCAAATCTCACTATAGTGAGTTAGTCTTATTAGAATTTCTTCATAAAATATTATATTCCACTAAAAAATTACATATTTAGTAGCTAGTTTCATATTATGTGATTAATTGAAAACTTATAAAGAACTTTTTATAAACTTTAATATTATTTTTAGCATATTCATACTATACCAAATGTAATAAAATTATTTAAATTTAAGTATTAAAAGTGATACTATTTTGTGATACTTTTTAGGATTAGTAGTCATTACTTAAATTTTTTTCTGAGTTCTTTACAAAATTAAAAATAACAGTAAACATAGACAATTGACTCTATAATTATATGAATTTAAAAATAAATATTTTTATATTTAACAGAAGTGAGTTGGTTGGTATGGCCGGTGTGGTCAAAATACGTTTTGATGAGGAGGCCCCGTCTCCGACGCCTACCACTCCGGCCTCTATCAAGCGGTTTGTTATAGATCTAGCATGACCTAGACTAGACATTCCTAACTAAAGGGCTAACATAATGGTTGAGATATTTAACCAAACAATTAATATGGATTTTGAACTAATTATTTTTTGTACTGTAGCACCCTGGGTAAACTTATAACTAGAATTTTGAATGGGATTTTCTTATTAACTTTCTAACAAATTATGTTTGAAATACCTTAACAATAATGATTATTTTCTAGAATATTGCATATAACAAGACCTTGATGTACCTATTAATAAAATTATTTTTATTTTAATTCTACAAGTATAGACTCTATGTATAGACAACTAGTAATAATTATTTATGCATCTGGTTATGACAATAATAGGCAGTTGGTCATAGATATTTCCTGAATTGTTGTATCCAAACATTTACCTTGAATGTATTAACAAAATAATGTACTGTGCTCTTGTTTGCTAGTACACTATTTATAATTATGGGTTTGCATGCTGTTTATTATAATATTATTCATTCACAATAAATAACTATCAATATGTCTTAAGATTTACCATAATTCACTAAAATCCATATTAAATACTTAATAAGGATAAAGTAGACAACCCTTCTATTACAGCAGGGTGTGCGAACGTTTTTGAGTTTTTTTTTGCTATTAACTATGTAACATCTCTATTTTATCTCCTATTTCATGATAACTATTAACACTAATACAAAATATCCATATCACTAATTAATTATGTCATAATATTCTACTTACTGGTATCTACAAACCTCTTTGTAATGGCTTACTACTAGTTATATAAAAACTACAATGCATGAATGATAAAATAGGCTAATTGCATGTATCATTTCATCAACACACAATGTTTCTTGTTAGAACATGTTAGTCATTTTCTGAATCAGCAGTGCCTTAATTGAATAGATTGTGTTTAATTCATTTCATTGTTTCTGCTTCAAAATTGAACCATTTAGTTATTTACGTACAATCTAATAAAAAGATAAAAATGGTAACATTTCGATTTCTTTATATTTTAGGTAGATACCTAACAGAAATTGGAAAGTGTCCAAAATGAGTCACGTAAACGAATTTCGATGACTCACAAATTGGCGATTGCAGTTTTTTCTTTTTCAGAAGGCAATAATGATTAGTGACGAGTTTTTCTCCTCAAACTATCGTTTCTATAATGTTATCTTTCCAGTTTGCGATGACGGGGAACATTATGTTATTTTATAAACAAAACAAACAACAAATAGATACGCCCGATACCCCATTCAAACTTCCAAATCTTTGACAGACGAAAGTGTAAATTCCTCTTTTCTTCGGTCACCTAACTATCAGCCTAATCCTTCTGTTCTGGTAGACCGTCTATTAATACCGGTAAGGCGGTAACTAGTTGCAAAACCATCAAACCAACAACTACCTAATTATTTAATAAGCCTTTAACTACATAGCATAACATCACGCCTTTTATCCCCGAAGGGGTAGGCAGAGGTGCACATTATGCCACTGTACAATGTAACACCCACTTTTCACTATTTATGTTATGAGTCCCATGTAATAGGGGGTGAGCCTATTGCCATATACCGGGCACAATTCCAGAGTCCGTGCTACTACTGAGAATTTTTAAAAACCCAATACTTTGTGCTTTGTCCAACCCTGGAATCGAACCCGAGACCCCTTGCCCGGCAGTCGCACTTGCGACCACTCGGCCAACGAGGCAGTCTAAGCCTTTAACTAATCGATCGATATTCCGAAATACCTATCAGTACAGTGGCACAGCTAGTTTCGGAAAACCGAGTTTAGTTTTCCAATGTCCTACCATCCGTCTCCTATTTTTTTTACTGTTAGACTCCCCTTTCATTTGAGAAATTTTGATGTTTCCCTGCAGTTCTAGATCCTTAGGCTTACCCAAGTTACTAAGAATTGGGCTCGCTGCCATTGCAGCGGTAAGTCCCCTCTTTGAGGAGTGGCTTGAGAGACGCTACGGCGTCCTCACCTACCGCCTGACGCAGGTCCTCACCGGACATGGAAGTTTCGGGAGGTACCTATGTCTGATGGGGCGGGAGGAAACGCCCGATTGTCATCACTGCGAGGACCGCCCTGAGGACACGGTGGAACACACAGTGGGAGAATGCCCTGCGTGGGCTGAGCACCGCCGTGCCCTCAGGGAAGTGATCGGCGATGGCGACCTCTCGCGTCCGGGCCTAGTGCAGGCCATGATGCGGAGCGAGAGGGACTGGGATGCCGTCTCCTCCTTTTGCGAAGCAGTCATGCTAGCTAAGGAGGAGGCGGGACGCGTGAGGCAGCGAAGCGCTGCCTCCTCGCAACCCAGCCATCGCGAAGGACACACCGGGCGTCGGGGATCGCGGGACGATCTCCGGCCACCGTAAGCGCGGGCCTGCGGACGGCGAGCATGGGTGGCTCCCCGTCCGACCAGAAACAGACCCGAGCGTACGGCGCGTCGCGTTCCGTCCTCAAAGAGCCATCAGACCACCACAGATGGGGCCCAATAGGGCCGATGCCGATTCGGAGTCGCGGAGAACCTAACGGGTAACCGGGGCTCCGGCTCGACGTGCAGGAGAAGGAACGGGGTGGTTTTTAGTCAGTAAGAGTCTGACACTCCCTTCCGCCTCACCCAGGCGGGAGCAGTCATTCGATGATTTTCCCCCCTTAATCTGTCAAACACCAAGCGGTCACCGGTGACCGCGACCTATTGTTCTTTAATTGTGTCTATAAAACCGGTACTCGACAAGTTAAAAAAAAAAAAAAAAAGTTACTAAGAATTCTGTGTTTCTGTTGCGTCCAAAATGGAACTTATACCTACAAATACCGTATACCGTATACCTGGGGGCTTACTCTTGAATCCAATTCCGATCGATCGACATTGGTATTGTGAAATTTCGTACTCTTGAGTTGCAATACTAGAGCCCATTGCATCCGTATTGCGTAGATATTGAATGAACTAAATGGTATTGAGTTTGTCTTTATATTCCGTACTCTGAATGCTATTGTAACAGCTAAGATTGTGGTTGTATAGTGTTGACATTTAATAATTATTGAGATCATATTGGATTGAAATTGCATTGACATTGAGATTGGTTTCAAGAGTAAGCGCCCTGAAGTCTGTAAAGACGGGATTTGAAATGCATGGCTTCAGATAACGAAACGAGTGACACGACGACAAACGGATTCCTTAAAGCCTATCGAATAACCGATGTTCGAATTCCCAACATACTCGACCTTATTCCAATAGTTAATCCAATATTTCGAACGTGTTTTTATATTTCCTAGATTAACATGTGTAAATAATATACTTACTTAGTCCTGCTCACAAATAAAATACGTACCTGTTATGTTATCAATTTCTTTAATAAATTAAGGTACTGCGTTCGGTTGGTACGATTCAAATCTGAGACATGTCTTCACGATTTGCTTACTTGAAGCGATCATTACCCTTTATTTTGTGCCTTACCATGACCTAGAACTTTCAAAATGTTATGGCACGTGACTAATAATGGAGGGTAACATTTTAGTGACATTTTGGCTTTTACGACTCTACTCTTACGTGATGCACGCAATTCTTTTATTAATTTAGCTTTATTTTCAGTTTCTGCAAGAACTGTCGTTTTATTAATGTTTGTTTAGGATCCCTTCCGAGTTACAGACTGTAACGATAGTAAGCATGCGATGCTTACAATTTAGTTTAACAGCGGGAAACACTCGGAAAATTGCCGTCAGTCTTAATTAGCGAAGGGATTCAAATATGCTAGATTCGCGGAGTGCTGAAGAGTGTTAAACACTACTGTCTGACACGTTTTGTTGGACAAAACGTGTTGTATAGCAATTTTCTTTTGATTATTTAGGAATTTCTTCATACAGTACTCCACAAATCTCTAAAATTAAACACCATTTTAGAATCTTGCAGCAGTTCATTACCTTCTCCTAATCTAGTACATTATAACCACAAAGCTTCTTATTAAAAATACTGTTTCAAAAGAAAGTTAGCTCGACTGCCTTTAGATTTTAATTTGAGCCGTTATTTTCGTATTGCTCATTTATTTGTTATGCCTCATTGACAGGGCGTCTACGCAGAACAGTCAGCGAAGTTTGCCAGAAATACCACATCCAGTGGGGAGACCCGACAGCGGCGACACTGCTTCAGAAATATATGCCACCGTGAATTTGGATGAAGGTAACGTTCTAGAATGCGAGTCATTAACTGCTAATTACATTGCAAGACATCGATTGCGATACATTCGATTGATCGATTTATGAATCCATTAATTCTGCTCCAATGATTTAGGTACTAACCTAACCAATATTGGTGAGAACCCTATGTCGATATTTTTTGCCAAGTAAAAATCACTAAGCAAAACTTGCCCATGAAGTTCATAACAACTGTCATAAGTTATTAGACAAACATGTTGCGGTGTGACCTACGAAACCTCGACACATACTTAGTTCTTCAAAGGTCGCGGGCGAAAGTATCTGCATCTAGTGTCTTGGATGTTCAGTTTTGAAATCTATGGCTGTAGTTTTAAGTGTCAACTTTCCTTGTTGAGGTCCTGTTGTTCTTGTTGATCAGGCGTCTATAAACTATGCATCTAAATAGTTCCATTCCTGCGTGACGTAAAGTAATATATTTTTATGTCTATGTATACTATACAAATTATACATGTCACGTTAAAAATGTTAGCTTGTTGCGCACTTTGTTGTGTTAATTAACCATGAAGTGTATTATTTATTGTGCACTAAACACATGCAATTACAACGTTCGTACCTTCAGAACATTTACATAAATTATTTATTTTATTTATTGTTTGCATTGTGTGAAGTGCACCGCAAATAATTTATTTCTAATGGCTTTTATTACACATAGAGTTAACCGGAAGCGTGCTATGGACTATGAGAGAAAACGGTTACGGCTCGTAAAATATCATCACATTTTAAAAAGAAAGGGTTTTCTAAAGAAAATCTTTATGAATTAGAGCAATTATGCCTACGGTCTACTGTTGTTAATTAAGATTATGCCGATATTATTATAAGGAGTCCGAAAACTTGGTGGAGTGATTACAAATAATTATGTAAGCACTCCAGCAAGTCATCAGTCAAGAGATCCATAGTTCTTTAATGTTCAATTTGATGATATTTGGCCTGGAATCTGATTACCGTGTAATTTATATTTTCGCCGTCTTAATCTCGTTTTTCTAATATTTTTATTGTAGGTAGGTACATTATTAGAATCACCAAAAACGTTTTTGACATTTACTTTTTGACACCATAAGATTAACGTTGGCTTAATAGGGTGACTGATTTTTATTTTAATGTTCGTCTGGTAGATTATTTTAAAACATTAGACACGTATTTTTAATTTATTAAGATACCTATATTGATTTGAAATATCGCATGACGTCACTTTTGAGTAAGATTTATACTCTAAAATGACGTAGCTACCCCCCACTCCTAAACTTTCATTCGTTTTATTTAAGTATTGTTTTCTTATACGACAAAATAAAAAAATACGTGTCTAATATTTTTTCATTACCTAACTGACGGATTAATTAGATTTTTAATTTTCATAACCTGTCATCATCCCTATTGCCAAATCAATTATGATTATGAAATAAGTATAAAATATCGACAATAAAACTGCGGATTATTCTCCGATCGAACAGATGGCTGCAGTGGGTTATAAAATGCAGGAACCAGTTTAATGCAACTTATATAATTTATTCATTAATGCAGACGTGATCAGGAGTGGCGCATTAGATTTTAATTCAATGGCTGTATTTAGATACTTTCCTGTCCTTTATGAATCAAATTATAAATTGGAATGAGGTCCTTGTTAGCCTCGTCGTAGTCTGTAATAAAATGGTTTAACAAACTGACATGGTAAAAACGACCTTATTTATACCCAGTTTTGTAGAGCATCAGGGTAAAATTGATTCTTGTGTTATATTTTACCCGCTTGTTCTATTCTGTTTTTAAGATTCTTTTAACCCTATGGTAGGTACTATAAATTTCTGCAATAAGAGAGTGAGAGTTGAGGCTGTAGTAGTGACAAAGAAATAGGTGTTTGAAAAGTCGATAACGCGCGAGCACCGTAAAGTTTAAATACATCCAAATCCAAACGCTTTGGTAACTTTACGTAGTCACATCAGGAATCAGGTAGACCATGAGCTTGTTTTCCAACTTAATGGTACAAAAACCTCCCACCATGTTTAAGTCAATAATTCTAGGAAAAATAGACGATATTATTTTACTTCATAGGTACTCGTTACGTGTCCACTAGGTATATATAATTATTTATTTATTTTCCTTTGTACCTTTTATCATCACGTGTGTAGATTGTTATTTACTATTTTAATTTAATAAATTCTGTGATGTTTATGTTCCTTTGTTTACAAGCATAAAACAATAATAAAAGAAAATCTTAGTTATCAGCTTCTGTAATAAATCTATTTATCTATGTCGCCTATATAAAGAAACTAGGTACTTTAATATTGCAAACATTTTATTGATATAAAAACATTGTACATAATTATAATCGTCAGAATAAACATATATAATACATATATGTGCTGTGTGTAATGACTGCACGGTAGGCGTGATGGCTGAGCAACTGACTGCCATGAAACGTGTCGCGGGTTCGATTCCCGCACGGAACAAAGCTTTGTGTGATCCACAGATTCTTGTTCCGGGTCTGGGTGTCATGTGTATGTGAACTTGTATGTTTGTAAAAGCACCCACGACACAGGAGAAAAGGGTGGGGCAACGTTTTTTTTTAAGTAAAATAAAATATAGCTCCAGAAGGGTTACCTAGGGTTAGGTACCTGGGAATGGAGCTATATATCTACTGTCCGTTAAGACGAGTAGGTTTCCATTATATGCTGTATTTATAAAACCTGTATCTACATTATTAAATTATTATATTTTCTTTTCCTCATAATTTAATTGTGCAACATACTAGGCTAGGTAGCCTAAGTAGCTCACATGTAGGTACATAATAATAATAATAATTACCTACTATTCAATTCATCAAATAAAATTGCCGCAGAAGGAAAATTATAATTATCTCTATAGTTAGATTTCCTTACAAATATTGTACACTCAAGGCCTTCATTTTGATAAAATGCCCGCATAATTGCACGATTATCAATCTTCAAAACACGTAAGGCCCGAAAGCTATTTGTGGCTACTGTTTGGTAGTAGTTCATTCATCAGATCGTAGATACGATCGCAACATTATCAGTTCAAAGATCCAATATCGTTCAAAAGGGCCGCTACTCGGAACTGGTGATAATTAATTTGTAATCAATACATGTTTTCACTAATCACTGTTGTTTATCTGCAGGTAATAAAACAGTAGCGACTGCATCTACGAGCCGAGACCACCCCTACGAACATGCCTACGCTAAAGTACAGAATGAAAGCCATAATATGTTAGTAAAATTAATTAAAGATTTTTTGTTACTTTGTTTTACCTTAAAGAGATGTAACAGTACAGAACGCTTACATTTCCTCATTAATTAATGACAGTAAATAAGTTCCGTAAAATAGAATGCGGTGCTATTTCTGTGCCATAACTTCACTTTTAATCCTTAAGAGAGAAGGCAGACTGCAGAAATGCTTCACCGTGCCCATTTTTCCCGAGTTATATTATAGGGTTCTTATTAATACAATCGAATGAGGTACAAATGAAAGGAAAGACAGGTAAATCTAACATTGAGAATTTCAAAATTGGCTACCCAAATATACGATTGATAGCTACTATGTATTGAAATTTTCTGATTATGGAAATCACTTAGCCTGTTCACAGTTGCGTTTATTCAAAAAATAAAATATTTACTTCGAAAATGATTGCTTACTTTTGGAAATTCTTAGCCATTTTAAAAACTGTCTCCGTATTGGTTTTTCACTTTGAAGTCACATGAAGATTATTTTCGGTTTGCAGTCTTGTTGAAGTAACTACGGATCAAACACCGGAACGAGAAATTCAAATCGATGAGCGGGAAGTTGGACAAAATCCAGCAGGTATGCATGAATCGTTAAATCATGTCTGTGCCTCCTGTGATAAGTGATATAACTCGAGTTGTACCCTTTTTGTGATTTTCACACGAGCATTATCAAAAAAAAATAACGTGTTTTTTGGTCTAACTCACGTTCTTCTATCTGCTATAGTTTCGGAGATAATTTTGTGCAAAGTGATACAACTATAGGGATTTTGGCAAAAAAATCGTGACAATCGATATTTGTTAAGTTGTAACTCCAAAACCGGTCACTTAACAAACTATTTTTCGTGTTTCGTGATTTAAATGCTATTGTATTTAACTTCACATTTTATTTTTCAGTACATTTATCGTGAATTTTGATGTGACTACAGTAATATCCCTTTGGACTAATTCTTTCGATATGCTTCTAAGATACAAATCGACATGTACCTACAAATCTGAATGTAAGGTATGCCATTTTTTTGTGAAAAGTGATACAACTTGACTTAAATCATTCTACACAATTCTGTCTTTATGTGTAAACAGATATAAATATAGTTGTATCTAAATATCCAACCAAATGTAAAAATATACGATATAAAATATTCAATGTGCTAAGTGATACAAGTGTAGGTGGCAGGGGTTCGCAGGGGTAATCGGGGTAATTTTTTTCAGCTAAAATTCGAATTGATAAAATAATGAAATGGGCTGCACTAAATCAGATATTGAAGAAAAAGATACCCAGGAAAATGGCCACGAATCAAGAGTGGAGCCAGAAACAAGCGAAACGGTTGATGGGTCATGGCGCCGGCGTCCAGCAGTTGCAGAAACGGTCACTGACTAAGAAAAATCTAATGATATCCAGGAAGAAGATAACGAATCAATAGAGACGCAAGAAGGAAAAGAACTAGTTGAAGAATTGCGGAACCCTATAATTGTTGCGGAAACAGTTTTCAATAATAATAAGATGAACAAGACTCAAGAACATTCTTCAAAAAATCTACTCGATGATTTGAGAATTTCAGAATCATCTGATGATGGTGATTTTGGCCATTCGATCAATTTATAATCCTATTTATTTATTTATGCTTTATTGTACACATTTAAGTAGCTTAAAAACAAACAATTCAAGCGTATTTGCGCGATCCACGCAAATGTTCTTTAGGTTGGTATTGGTCGTCGAATCAGTCAGCCTCACCTGTTAATTGAGCTGACTGTAAAGCTACACATGCGTACTGCCTTCAGAACGGGTCCGCTCAAACTTTTGTGGTTCTTTCCTCAAAAGGCCACTACAGAAAGAACTTGCACGGTTCTCACACATAATCTGTTATACATATTGTCTGGACTTTAAACATAAAAAAAGCATATATACGGTTGAATTGAGAACCTCCTCCTTTTTTTGAAGTCGGTTAAAAAAGGCGGGCATTTGATTTTGTTTCGGCATTTCTTCTCAGAGTAGTCAGTTAGGAAATGTCGACCTCATCGTTCGCTTGATATAATTGACGTGTAAAAGTGCTGCACTGTAGCCTATTTGCAGAAATAAATTCACTTGTTTCACTGTTTCACTTGTTTCCTTGGATCTTTTAGAAGTGATGAATATTATTTGCAATACTGATGAATTGTGTTCATCCACTGATGATGAAAGAGTACCGGCTAAAAAAAAAGAACTGCTACGTCGTCATTGATGAGACACACCTCCAATATTTCGATTCCTAAAACACCACCGTCACCCATGAACACATCAGAGAATTCCGTTCCTGGTTGCTCTTTCTGGGATCACAAAGGATTTAGAGTGCCGGAAAGAAGAAAAAAACAAGAAAAAGTGACAAAGAGAGAAGACAGAATAGAGAAAAGAGAAAACTATTTCGTAATACTGGCTTAGAATATACAACTTCATCAGGGAAAACAAAGGAACGTCGGCAACTTCGTGAACTCCAAAACTATTTTTATTATTCTGCTTCTGCCCGCGACTTCGTACGCGCAATCCCATTTCCCCCCCCGTTCCCGTTCGCGATTTTCGGTAAAATTTTAGAAAAAAGTATCTTATATCCGTCTCCTGGTTCTAAGCTACCACCCCGCCAATTTTCATCCAAATCGATTTAGTTGTTCTTGAGTTATAATAGTGTAACTAACACGACTTTCTTTTATATATATAGATTAATTAACCCACAGTTTAATTAATTATTTTTATTACTTCGTATAACACTGAGTTAATGTCGTGGTGGCCCGGAGGTTTAAGACGCCCGCTTCTCATGCACGAGGGTGCGGGTTTGAAACCTACTAACGGCAAGTACCAATGTGACTTTTTCCGAGTTATATGTACTTTCTAAGATTATTCAGACACCACTGACAAACGGTGAAGGAAAACATCGTGAGGAAACCTGGGCTTATAATTTCTAATTATAAGTTTGTAATCGCCAACCCGCATTGAGCAAGCGTGGTGATTAATGCTCAAACCTTCTCCGTGTGAGAAGAGGCTTTGCTCAGCAGTGGGCATTTATAGGCTGTTGATGATGATGATGATGATAACACTGAGTAGGTAAATTGCTTACTGTGATAGCTTATCAATACTGATCTGTGCCATTACTTAGTTTTACTTGGTTTTAAACTTTGGCTTTATGATAATTATGTTCCTTTTAACAATAGTTACATTCGTATAGTCATATTGTGATGTATAGATCTCCATTTAGTTTTATAAGAATTTTGATAAAAATGTGCATAACGGCTGTATTTTTAGGTTAATAAACATTGATATTTTATTTTTCTAAAACTTGTATTCATTTACACATATCACTATCTTTTTTTTGAGGGGTACATCTTGACTTACATCATTTAGCATAACTTCTGAAAGACAAGGATTTTAGTAAATTGATATAGTTCAGATAAGTTATGTAAATAGGTGACTGATAAGTAAAAAAAATGAATATTAAGGGTTATATTTTCAACTTTTGTTTTAGCACATTTCGCTAGAATCATTATTTTAATGTGTTATTAGACATTTTAACTTCATGTATATCACTTTACACTAAGACAATTTTTTGGTGCAAGCTTGGTGCAACGTAATTTAACTGTACAAGTATCATTAATAACTTAATTTTAGCACATAAAAAACTAAGTAAAAGTTACAAGTCGCAGGTTTTTCATGAATTACTTCCAAAATTAAACATGTATCAAAAAATCTAAATTATATAAAGAAAGAGAATGTTTTGATCTATAAATGAGTGCACTAATATTTAACCTAGGCCACTTAATTAACGAACTAGATTTTTTTAAATCTTATTTTTGCTGTCCTGTAAAATGACGTTTTTTGACTTGTATCACTTATCACAGGAGGAACAGATGTAATTTTAAAGGAAAAATTGCATTGCAAATTAGGTACCTAATTTGTGAATAACAACACTGGTCACAACGTATGTACATCTAATTTCAATAATTATCTAAATTACGGATTATTCTAAGAATCAATAATATCGCGTATAACGATCACAAACAAGATCAAATCTATAATTTTGATCAAGATTCTAATCGTAATTGGAATAAGTAGCATTATTGTATTTTGTCACTTTGGAATAACTATTGTTTTTTTTTTAGAATCGGTGGTAATATCGGCGTCGGTGGCGATAAGTGGGCAACTGCCTTCGAGTCAAGAGCTTCCGTACATCACGCCGCCCTCTCCTCGACCGAACACTGACAACACCACACACTTTAGCGGAGATTCCACTGATTCAGCAAGTATGTTAGAAAATAACTTATAACTTATTCTCTCTCGCCTCGTTGGCCGAGTGGTCGCAAGTGCTCCTGCCGGGCAGGAGTCTCGGATCCGATTCCCACCTCGAGCAAAATATTACCGGGTTTTTAAATAATTCTCAGTAGTAGCACGGAGTCTGGAATTGTGCCCGGTATATGGCAATAGGCTCACTCCCTATTACATGGGACTCATAACATAAATAGTGAAAAGTGGGTGTTACATTGTACAGTGGCATAATGTGCACCTCTGCCTACCCCTTCGGGGATAAAAGGCGTGATGTTATGTTATGTTATGTTATAACTTATTAGTATACTTTTTAATCAGACTGACCTACTGCTCGCAGTTCTATTTCAGAGACCTTAGTACGAGTTACTTTTATGTTTATAGTAATCAAAACGAGACCGCGTTCGGTGCTCTGATTGGTTCGTTTATTGTAGCCGGCCAATCAGACGCCTAAGTACGAATTTATTTTACGTTTATGTAATAGAAACGACACCATGTTCGGCGCTCTGAGGCCTTAACAAGTTTGTTTTTGATGTTTAAAGTAATCTAAAAATTTATGGCTCCTATGATATGAACCAATCATTCAGAGCACGGAATGTGTACTCGTTTCGATTACCATAAATGTAAAACAAATTCGTATTAAGGCTTCAGAAATCAGAATACTTCCGTTCCTATTATAAGTATGTGACTAGAAAATACCAGAAATCCCGACCTAAAATGGAGATATTGTCGGTCATTCGTCAATTTGTCACTTCAAGATATTTATGAAATGACTGCCTCGTTGTCCGAGTGGTCGCAAGTGCTCCTGCCGGGCAGGAGTCTCGGATCCGATTCCCACCTCGAGCAAAATATTACCGGGTTTTTAAATAATTCTCAGTAGTAGCACGGAGTCTGAAATGGTGCCCGTTGTATGGCAAAAGGTTCACCCCCTAGTACATGGGACTCATGACATAAAATAGTAAAAAGTGGGTATTACATTGAGTGGCATTAAGTGCCGTAATATGCACTTCTGCCTACCCCTTCGGGGATAGAAGGCGTGATGTTATGATGATGACTTATGAAATGTTAATAATACTCTATAATTAGTAGAGCACTCAGAACACATTTCGAACGTAATAATTGGACTAATTTATTTTTTGTGTATATTCACTAGCTGTACCCACGACATGGTCCGCGTGAAATAGTGAATCACAGCTCCTCTCCCGTAGGTGATAGCGTGATAATAACAGGTTAGGTCAACATTTATATTTATAGGCTACTAGCTTTTACCCGCGGCTTCGCTCGCGTCACAAAAGAATAAAACGTAGCTTATGTGACATATACCAATACACACAGCGCCATCTATACCAATACTTTTGTTTTTCCTCGGGAATATCAATTTTTTCCGGATTAAAAAGTACCCTATTATTTAATCCGGACTTCTAACTTTACGTCTGCAAAAATTCAAAGCAATCGGTTGAGTAGTTACGGCGCGAAGGTGGAACAAACAAACAAACAAACAAACTCACTTTCAGATTTATAATATTAGTAAGGATATGTAGCCTATATGTTGACCTAACCTGTTAGGAATATTCATGCAAAATTTGAAGTAAATCCATGTATGTAGTTCTTTTTGAGTTTAGCCCGGACATACCTACATACAGACAAAAATTCTAAAAACCATATTTTTAGCTTCGGTGTCGCATGTAGACCACACCCCAAGCATTCTTTAAAAAAAAGATTCAATGTACCTACAGTTTTCACTTTCCTACGATTTTATTATTTATTATAATTATGTATAGTAGATATATCCAAGTAAATATAGTAAATAACATAAAATCCCCGTACGAATACAAGTAAGAGTCACAAAATGCTAAACACTATTTTCTTTTAGCTAAACAATTTTTTGTAAGTGCATTGGTAGATAATGAATTCGTGCTGATAATTAGTGCAAAATTGTTCGTGATTCGTGATATCATTAACAAATTACCTTAATGCATTTTACTTTTTCTAATTCAATTATAGTATGTACCTACTTTTCGAGGTACATTTTTCAGTGATCAGTCAATATTCAGTTTACCGCCAGTAAGGCAACTGATGTCCATGTAGATTTCATATAGGAACACTACAATTCCATTATCCACTGATTAGATTTTGAAGCAGATAAATTTTAAATATTATAAAACTTGACAGGCAAAAATAAACCCTAAATTCTAGTATTAAAGTCCGTTTTATTGTGATATTCATTATGGCAGTTGTATTATGACATTTTAATTTAGTGAAAAATTGTTGTGATTAATACCGGGAAATCGTTAAATGCATCTAATTTGATAATTTAGTATGGTGACTAAAATATTGCTTAATTTATCAATATTATATTATTATCTTCTGTAGTAGGTAGGTAGTATTATTTAATCTAATTATTTACTTTTGAAACCATTAATTTACTTTGAATAACGAATACGATGTCAAAGGTATTTGACTTTAAAGGCTGTACTGTAAACCTATAATAAATACTGGGAGATTAAACCACATTTTTGCATATATTATTTTAAAAATAACTGACGTTAAAGAAGAAAACCCATAAAATAAAAATAATACCTGTATAGTGTATATGCAATACAGAAGCAAGTAGAAAATTATCTCAATTATGTGTTGTGTCAAATCCAAACTAATTCCAACATACATACATAATCTCACGCCTGTTTCCATGGGGGTAGGCAGAGGCTATGGAACGCCAATTGCGACGATTCTTACATATGTTTTTATAATAACTATCGTGAGACATACTAAATTAAATAAAATCGCGGGTTACTCACGTGAATATACTGATTCTACATACTACGTGGAGGACCAAGGGGGAGGCCATTGTCCAGCAGTGGACGTCTTTCGGCTGTTGATGATGATGATGATGATTACATGCTACTTTCGCTTCATCAACAAATTCCAACTTTAACAACTATTCAATAAGACTGCTAATCTAACTTCAATTAAGAACATGTGATTACTGATATCTTCAGACGCACAATCACTACAATCAATCAGTTATTGACCCTCTAGGTTTTACTTCAATAATGTTATCTATGTTATGCATTATTTTTCTTCAATAGTATTTCGCCACTTCATTTCTTTTTAATGTACGTTAACAACTCTTCTTGGATAAGTCTTTTACGTTATGCACTTACGCCCTTCTCCGATAAACATGCTTAAACCATTTTTACTTTACCGTGTTTAATTGTAGATATCTACTATTAAAATCTCCTAAAAACGTTATTGTCCCAAAAACAATAAATATGTAATGAGGACTATGGTATTGTTTCTGTGAATATGGGACGGTATTAATGTAGTGTTAGGTCTTATTTATTGGGCTCGCTACCATCGCAGCGGTAAGTCCCCCCTCTTTGAGGAGTGGCTTGAGAGACGCTACGGCGTCCTCACCTACCTGACGCAGGTCCTCACCGGACATGGGAACTTCGGGTGGTACCTGTGTCTGATAGGGCGGGAGGAAACGCCCGGGTATCATCACTGCGAAGACCGCCCTGAGGACACGGTGAAACACACAGTCTAAGAATGCCCTGCGTAAGCTGAGCACCGCCGTGCCCTCGGGGACGTGATCGGCGACGGCGACATCTCGCGTCCGGCCTTATAATAGTGCGGGCCATGATGCGGAGCGAGGGGACTGGGATGCCGTCTCCTCCTTTTGCCAAGCATCATGCTAGCTAAGGAGGAGACGGGACGCGTGAGGGAGCGAAGCGCTGCCTCTTCACAACCCAGCCGTCGCGAAGGACACTCCGGGCATCGGGGATCGCGAGACGATCTCCGGCCACCGTAAGCGCGAGCCTGCCGACGGCGAGCATGGGTGGCTCGCCGCCCGACCAGAACCAGACCCGAGCGTACGGCGCGTCGCGTTCCGCGCGCGCCCCAAAGAGCCATCAGACCACCACGGATGGGGCCCAATAGGGCTGATACGGAGTCGCGGAGAACCTAACGGGTTACCGGGGCTCCAGCTCGAAGTGCAGGAGTAGGAATGGGGTGGTTTTTAGTCAGTAAGACTCTGACACTCCCTCCCGCCTCACCCAGGCGGGAGCAGTCATTCGATGATTTTCCCGCCCTTAAAAAAAAGTTCTTATTTATCAGACCCGCGGAAGGCCTTACGGGCTGCCGGGGCTCCGGCTCGAAGAGCTGGAATAGGTATGGGGTGGTTTGTAGTCAGTAAGAGTCTGAAACTCCCTCTCGCCTAACCCAAGGCGGGAGAAGCAATTGGATGATCCCCCCTCCCCCTCAATAAAAGTTTGTATTTAACGAATTTCAAAAGGGGGTTTTCCAATGGTTTGTGTCACCATTATTATATTCTCACTATCACAATTCGCTTTTGAACTACAAATTATGTGCGATTGGTCCAATCATGATTTGGTTTTTTACAGAGGGCTACACAAGCATCTCAGTACGCGAACCACTGAGTAACATTCGCGCTCAAAGTAGCAAGCCGCCTTCACAACCCCACTATGCCACTGTATCTGATGATTCCGGTAAGTACCTATACAAGTTTAGCAATAATATCTGGCATTTGAATTTGACCCCTATGTACCCGTATTAGAGAAACTTCTTTACTTCCTCGAATCCTTTAGGCCCTCAGCGATTTTAGTTGTGGAAGCACTTCATAAACTTCATTCATTCATACTTCATGGCTTGCCTTTTTATGCAATTCTTCTACCAATATCTCTATCAGAAGTCGCGAGAAACAAAAGAGGTATTTTTTTCCACTTCCACGTCCGAAAAGACAAGGGATTTTGTATACATAAGTAATTATTATTATTATTATGTAATACAATTAAGAAACGAAACTAACAGCATTGTGAGTATGTAGTAGTAGGAATTTTGATTTGAAACAAACATTTTATCGGAAACAATCGCTAATTGTTTTCTATTAATCTATGCAACTGGCTATCACAATGTCTAATTATCCAATTATCTAATCTGTCTATTATAAAATTGTAATCAATTAAAATAAAATTTCATAGACTGATTACGCTATACTATTTCTGTACGATGGATTTCCCATCTTCCGGTTTTATATTAAAAAAACAATGGATCATTTCTAAGTAATTAGTTACTTTGTAATTACTTACCTATAATAGATTTCTTGATAATTTTACCCACGATTATTACCTTCACATCTTTTATTCCTAAAAGAGATAGACAGGGATGTAGGCTTAATTACTTTAATTGGTGTCATGTGCAAGTTTACATACTTGTATGTTTGTAAACACCCCCACGTTACCGGAGAAAATGCTAGTGTGGGGGCAACGCTATTTAAAAACAAAAAAAAAAAGCCTAAAAAATGATGTACTTACGTGTAGAATGTTTAGCCAGTTAGTCGCCCGAATAATGCTAGGTACTCAATTTTTAATTGCACTAAATTATCACGCTATGTCGGTGTTTTTATGATGTATTTGTAGAGACAGAACGATTTTTAATTATTTGAACATACGTCCCATATAATAGAGGACAAGATTCTATACTTTCCGTCAGTCCGAAAACAAAGTATTTTCTATTGCAATGATTACTGTCATCAATCAATCCGATATCGATCTGTCATTGCGCCCAACGTTTGAATATCTTGATATACGAGATTTTAAACATCAATAAATAGCCTATTATGATCGTTATCGTTAAAATAACATCGTTAGAATGTCTATCAATCGGCACGCCAAATTAGGTAATTGTATTGTAGTAAACGCGCATTCGATTATTTTGACTTTAAATACTAACGGTTTAAGGTCGAAATTTCTTTGTTTATAGTTTTCTTCCTATTTTATTAAACTCTTAAATTTTAGATGACTAAAAATACACAGACAACAATTAAATCTTGGAATGGTATTAATATTGATGTGTCAAAACCGGGCTGGTTACAAAATTGATTAACAAAAAAGGTTATGTGCACTGGACTGGAAACCTAGCTTCTCTCAGAAAACATTTCATCACTTATAGACCGAATAAATAAATAAATAAATAAGTAAAAGATACCTGAATTCGGTTAATTAAATCAAACTCCATAAGTATTTATTCAGGAAATTCTAAATGAGTTTCATTTTTATTCGAATATGAATATGTATTTTATTTCCAGACGAGATGTACGCAGCGATCGAGGAGCCGAGCGTTGGCGAAGGTTCGGACACGTACGCGCAGATTGCAACCGAGCCGCGTCGTAGGGACCCCACGCCAGATCTACTGCACACCGACCCCACTCACGTTGCTAGGTAACCGTTCATGTTAATAACAAAACCGTTCTTCGTACGGCAATATACTGTCTATAAGATTATGTAAAAAAATCTTTACAATTCAGTCAGATTGCATAAGTTCGATATCGTTAATCGTTTTTCGGATTTCTTATTATCATCAATAAGTACACGGTCAACAAATTAATCTCCATACTTTGGTTTAAGGGGCAGAACCTTTGCATATTTTGACTCCGACATCAACAGCGGCTGCTTGGTGACGAGCTCCCTTATCGACATGTCAAAACATTTAGATTAATTCCAGGCTTTGATTGGCCGTCTCTTGATAAATAAACAAATTAGTGCCCAATCGCAACGGTAGTTCAGCCATTGACAGTTCGTTATCGATTTTTTTGTCGATTCTACCTTAAAAAATTCGGTTGCCGTAATCTGAAATCAGTGATTAAGCTGTAGTATCCGGCAGCCACATGTTCGACATTCTTTATGATTATTTATTTATTAACAAAACAAACTTTGGTTTCTCAATTTGCATTTTAAGTTTTACCTATGACTTCATCTCTGTGGTTTATTCTTAGTATTCCGTTAAAATTGCCGTTAAATGCAGTTCTGTTTGTGTTCCTGTGTACGTATCTAGAGTGGTTGTAATATGCGGTTTTCTTGTAATATTTTTTGTAATTTGTTCAGACGAAGTGCTCCACCAGACGTCGGTGCATCAACGTCAAATGCTACGCACTCTAGACAAGGTGATTTATCAATTTTACGTCACATTTTTGTAATTTATTCTATATTTAGAACTTAATGTCATGTTGTCAAATCGTGGTTCTACCACGATTATGATAATGGCATTAACGTAGACCTTTGCCTGCAATGGTGTACATTTTTAATATAAGATTCACTTATCACGCATTTTTTTGCATTGACAGATTTTTGCGGCAAAATTATATCTATCGTCTTTACTAAAATGTATGTTTCGCCAATCAGCGTCTTCTTCATCATGCTCGAACTCGACGGGCGCACTGGGCTCTCCGAAGCCAGAGAAGCGTCAGGCCAACTCTCCGCTGCCTCCGCCACCGCACGTCGGCTCGCACGGGGGCACGCACGTCAGCTCGCACGTGACGTCACATGTCACGTCGCACGTCACGTCGCACGTCACGGTGCACGCGGCCGCGCACTCGTCGCACGCGGCGCCACACAGCGCGTCACACCCCGCGCCGCACGCGACGTCACACGCCGCGCCGCGACAGCCCGCCATCGAACAGGCTCTCGCACAGCGACACCAACGGATGTCAAGTACAGGTACTTCAACATTATATTTCACTTAAACAAGCCATAGCAAAATATTTACACGTTTACTACTTAATAAAATTATTCTATTCCCAGGTGACCTACATTTCAACCATGACAAGTTACGGCGGAGTCTCAACGAGAAACACCAACGAAACAATAGTTGCGTAAGCTCATCTGATTTCTACGGCTGCAATTACCCCGTAGAGAAACATCGCTTTAGTTCTGGGGACTTGATAAGACCTCTTGTCGCCAGAGAACTTAACTTTGATATCGACCAGCGCGATGGTCAAGCCGATAACCTCTACAACTCTATCGATGGCCCAGGCTACAGTGACTACTCCTCGGCAGATGCTAACACCAGTTTGAATTCAGATCATCGCGTAACTGAAAGTCCTTCACGCAATGTTGAAGAAATGTATGCTAAAGTTATGAAGAAAGCTAAAGGCAGAACTGAAGAGACCATAAGGCGTTCAAAAGATTTCACAGGAGCTGATGGCGAGCCACACACATCGAAGTTCCGAGGAGATGATCCCGGTTATGAGACTATCGATCGGAAAAAATCAATAAACCATGGATATGAGACTATCGCGCATAAAGAGCGAAAATCATCACAAAATCAAGATCCAGGATACGAAACTGTCAAAGACATAAACAAAGCAGGTCCTACCTCAAACTTTACAAACAACAATTTACTGAAGCTGAATCACCTGGCTATGGACAGTGGACCTAATAGCATTGTAAGCAGTGACGCGGGGTATGAGCATATTTCTAAGACTGATAACAATGCTTCCGATTCAGACCCCAACTATGAAGTGCTGAGGAACCAGCCGCCTACACCACCTTATGCGACGATTGCACCGAACTACAAAGTACAGCCAACATACTCGACAGTAAACAAAAAGCCCAATAAGTACAACAATTGGCCTGCTAATAATAACGATGAACCCACCTTAGAACCAAATTACGAGTCTATGCCGCATGATCCCCTGTACAACACTGGCAGTGAATCGGATCCCAATTATGAATCCGTTCGACCCAAAGATCCTAATTATGAGAGTGTGAGTACACAAGATCCGAACTACGAGTCATTAAGGTGTAAGGATCCGAAGTACGAGTCGGTTCGGTCGAAAGACTCAAAGTATGATTCAGTGCGCTCTAAAAAGGATCCGAATTACGAAAGCGTAAAGTACTTTGAGCTGTCAAAGAAAGAGCCACCTTATGAAAAAGTCAACAATGAAGCGTCAGGGAGCGCCAGTGTGGAGAGGTCAGACTCAGCGGCGGGATATGAGAAAATTAACGTACCAAACAGAAGCGAGCCGAAAAGCAGTATTAATAACGGCGGCGACGCCACCGTTAGTGATTACTTTCAAGTGTAAATGTGTAAAACAAGAATATTATATATGACTTTGTTTATGAACAATGTAACAGGAAATTGAGCTATAAACATGAATATTTTATTAACAGTATTCACGTAGGATTTTGAGATTGAGTGCTTTTTATTTATTTATTAAAATATTTTAGGGACTGTTTACAGCACCTCAATGTTAGATATAATAAGTAATATCTTCCTTAGGTATCTGTGATATAATATGTATGTTATAAAATTTTTGATTTTTGTTTTTATTTCCATAAGATTTTTATATGAGCATTGATAGACATTATGTTATTCTGAAGACGAGAATAATTTGTTACGAAATCTCCATTTCTTAATGTGTTCATAAGTGTGATTATTTTCTACACTTTGATATTATGCTGATGAAATGAATGCGTGTGTTGTAAATTGCATGTACAAAATGTAGATTGTACATATTTTTTTAATTTTAGGTAATTTATGACTAACTTTATTATGAACTCTTTTTTATTATAGAGTGGATTGACTTCGCGTTGGTCACGGTTGTCTTTGGGAGTATGTAACTCGTTTTATATGAAGGAGCATACAAACTGGTTAATAAAAAGGTGTCGTAAACTAGAACTAACCATGTTTTACTAACACGAGTTTATCTATTTTTAAGTTTTAATTTTTAAATGTCATTCCAGTCAGTATGTGGTGCTTTGATTTAACCAACGAACGGTACTATAAGTTTAATATAAATTAAGTAATTACTTAACTGATTCTAAGACAAGGAGTTTATACATTCATCGATATTTTTTTCTATTATAGTCATTAGACAATGAATTCTGAAAACCAATGTATTTTTTTTAATACTTGAAGAAATTTTACCTGTTTGATGAATTTTGGTAAATACATGATGAATTTTTTTAAGTTTCTAACTTATACCAAAGTACAGACATTCTGTACACGACACCTATTTATTACACCTGTTTAGATGGATGAATATCAAGTAATGGAGCCTGCATTTTAGCCTAAGACTGCCTTATGAGTTTTGATTATAAATATATTATTAATAATTTATATAAAATGTAACATCAACGAATTCAATAGAACATCTTAAAAACATCAGCAATTTATTTGAATTGTAACATAAGTTTAAAACATTTTGTTTTATTTTTTGTTGTTAATTTTGTTTTTAACTTACTGTTGTAACAAAAAATGTACTAGATAACATTTTAGTCTTTTGTCCATGTTAAAACATGATAATAGACGGACGATTTTAGAAAGAAGTACGAAGTATAATATTAATTCCAATACACAAATATGGGGTATTTTTTGTAGTTTGTTTGCTGTTTGATAAGATTATTATGTACCTGAGAATATTAATTTACGATCATCCTCTGTCCAACAATTTATAGTAATGTATGTGAATGCATCCAAGTTATAGTCTTTTGGCGCATAGTACGGCTGGTACTAATGTGTTCATTTAGTAGTAATGGTTCAGACAAGTGATGTTCATATCACTCGTTGGATTTGTGGTCCTCTGCCGAAAATACCTGATGCATTCCAGTACTATTTACATTGACCATCCATTTACATTATAATATGTAACATTGTGCCCTAATATGAGCTTTCCAAAAACGTTCCATCTTAGTATTACAATTTATTTCAAACATTTTGTCACAATTCCAAACTACAGACTGTTATTACTGTCTTAAATCATTGTTTTTTTCCATGTACTATTATTATCATAAACTAAGTAGGCATATTATGTATTGATACCTAATTTATAAACTTTAAAGATTATTTTACTCAGCCTGTATTACAACATGTACTGCATTATAATTTTAGTAATCTAAAGCACAATTTACAATGTAACTTCACGTATCGATTGACTGTAATATTATTGTACTTATCTATATACTTAGTAAAACTTGAATATATGTATCATGATTAGTATCTGTTTAATATTCAAACAAACTCGAAAACATTCCATCGTACTAATAGATGCAGTGAATAAACTACCTATATTTAATGGAATAAAGTATGCCATATAAAATAATGTTTATTTAGTTTAATTTTTCCACTTCACTTGCTAATTGTATCATCCCTTGCTGTCGAATTTTTAAATTCCTTGGCTGATCCTAATAAAGCGTAACTATAAATAAAACTTTCCCCGTTCCCAGACTCCTATGACTTGGATGCATTCAAGTATATTTTAGCCAACTTGAGCTTCATAATAAGATTAAATACAAGAACGTAGAAAAAATTATTATAAAAAGTATTTTTTTATTTTTGTACTAGTAAATCCCGCGAACTCCGTTGCGCCACCAGATGGCTTCGTTTTATGTACTTTAGGTGATTAAAAGATAAATAAAAAACTTTTTCCTGAATTTTCTTTTCTATAAACCTCACGGATCCCGAGACCTTTCCAACGAATGCAAAACCGTGGAAATCGGTTCGTGCCTTCTGGAGTTATAGCGTCAGGAAGAAAAACCCGACTCATTTTTATTATTTTTGTATATCGCAACTAGAATGTTTTAGTCGAGTTTTGTGGTTCATCTCTATTTGACATTACGAAGTTTAGGAACGTCTGTTTGACAACAAGGCAATTTTGACAGGTAGTGACATGGAAGTGGAACTGATCAATTTGTAATTTAGTGGATATTTACATTAAATTTATCTGTTTGATCTAAAACTTTTATCAGTGAATAGACAAAAATGGCAAATTTCAACAACCCCAACGATTATTCGTGGCAAACTCAAAATAATAGCCAAAATTACTCTTTTAACACTTCTAATGCGTTTGCTGATCCAGCGCAAACGTTAGGTGAGCATCACTTCTAAGGATATCGGTTTACAATACAAATGCTAATACAAGTAAATATATAGTTACAATAAACTACATTTTCTTTCAGATTTTCAAACATTTCCTACCGATCAACAAAACTACTCATTCGACCAAAACCAGGGGACTATGACTGCCAATAATAATCAGTACTATAACTCAAACATATTTACACCAGCACCAGTGCCCGGCGAGCCTGTCGGCGAACCAACCGAGTTTGACGAACCGCCACTGTTAGACGAACTAGAGATATACCCAGATAGAATATTGGAAAAAACTTTAGCTGTACTTAATCCATTCCACGGTCAATCAAAAGCTGATGATGCCAACTTCCTACTGAGAGACACAGACATAGCTGGCCCTATTGCATTTTGTTTAGCACTAGCAGTGTGTTTGTTCCTAGCTGGGAATAAAGCACATTTTGGGTATGTTTATGGGTTATCTGTAATGTCGGTAATATTGATGTATTTCCTACTATCTCTAATGAGTCGCACTGAGGGAGTTTTTACCCTACTGAGTGTAGCTAGTGTCCTAGGTTACTGTATGTTGCCAATGGTGGTATTGGCTGGTCTTGGGATTTTCATCTCTCTTGAAGGATCTGTGGGATTAAGTTTGTCAGCTGTCGCTGTTATCTGGTCGGCACTGTCGGCCAGCAGGCTATTTGTCACTATGTCTGGTGACTCTGAACAGAGACCATTGATTGCCTATCCTTGCGCCTTAGTCAATGGAGTTTTTGCTCTATTAGTGCTCTTTTGATTGTTTGTAAGTGTAATTAATATATGTAATCAATTTTGTATTATATAAAGAGGAGAGGTTATTAAATTACTGTCAACAATCTGTACAGAACTTTTACTATGTATAGCCAGATACTTATAAAGTGTTTTTTATAATAATAATAAAAATATACTCAAAATTTCACATATTCCACTGTGTAATATAAAATAAAATTTAATTCTCTTGAGTTTTAAGTTGCAATATAAGATTCTAATAAATTGTATTTTATACAAATAAAACATTCTAATTAAACCCCAAAGTTGTTTTAATAAATAAACTATAATATTTAACTAGTTATTACATTCGATTGTATAACGTTGGTCGGTCACTGAAGAAGTTCTTGAGAACCATAACTTGTGCGAATGCTACACAAACAATAGCTAGGGATTCACCCATGGACCACCAGAATACTCTCTCATTGAGATCCTCGGCCCTTTTGCGGCCCTGAGCCTCTCTTAGCCTGTGGTGAGTTTGGTGGTCAATGATTCTGTTCAGGGCTGAGTGAATTTCTTCAGCAGAAGTTTCCAGCTGAAAATAATAAAATATGAAATATTAAGTAGTATTCTTGCATCTCGTAAGCTGAGACGTAACATAATTTGAAACTGATGTCATACAGCCATAATGACCTATGACCTACTTTTTTAATCATGTTTATCAAGTTGTTTATTACTTGTAAGAATAATATTAAAAACCTTTATATTTTTATTATTCCATTTCATTTTCAATAAATAGGTACAAAGACAAGCGAATTCAGTTGACTATATTTGCATTAATTAAGTTATCAGTTTACAGCAAACTGGTAACTTATCTATAAGTAGGTATGCTGAATTTTTTTTTTTAACGGGAAATCATCTAATGACTGCTCCCGCCTGGGTGAGGCGGAAGGGAGTGTCAGATTCTTACTGACTAAAAACCACCCTGTTCCTTCTCCTGCACGTAGAGCCGGAGCCCCGGTTACCCGTTAGGTTCTCCGCGACAGGTATGCTGAATAGACCTTTATGAAATAAAAATAGACAAACCTGTGTTAGGACAGTTGCATGGTCTCCAACTCCAGGCAAAGGCTTCTCAGGACCCACATTAAGTTCCATGTACACAAGTTTATGGGAGAATGTACTAAATTCATTGCTGAAGCAAACCTTGTAAATACCTGGAATAAGAATAATATTCATTATCCAATGAGAACACGTCATTCTAAATGGAGAGAATATAGCACCAATTTAATTAAAATTGTGGTGAAAATAAGGCAGAATACATGGTCATGGTGTAAATTAATTTTTAAGGAAAAATTGGTTTTAAGTATGAGCCTCCTTAAATCCAAAATAAGTAGAAATATTTGTTACAATTTCAAGTCTTTCAACTGCCTTAATTGTATAAACAAATGAAGGGGGATGTTACAAACTAGCCTGCGATACTCATTAGGAAATTGCAAGAATATGTAACATGTGTTTAATGCCGTTAACATGTGAATGTTGCATCGCAGGGTTTTAAAAGAATTCAATTTGACTTATACCTGATAATTGTGTAGTAAACTGATGAGAATCATATTGCATTTTCTGTTGTTGGTAAATAATTTGCTTATTGGGACCTTCTATCTTGACATCGACATCGTATTGCCCTCCGGTAATTACCTGTAACATTAAGCAGTATATTCGTCACCTTGAACAGGAAAAAGAGTCTTGAGAAGTTAATTCTAAAGTTTGACTTAGGTTAGTTTACAGCTAAAAATCGGTGCCGCAATTTAATTACAGGCCAAATATGTGTAAATATTCAGCCAGATATGAAAATTACCTGATATTCTAATGCCGCTGATGTATTTTTTTCTATTTCTTCATAAAAACATTCTACTGCACTATCAGGTAACTCGAAGGTAAGTTCAACGCTTTTAGAAAGTATACCGTTGATAAATGTCATAAATATTGCAAATAATATTGGTGTGAAAATCATTTTGTCTAGAATTATACCTCGAATTCTAAAAGTACAAAAATAATTGAAATCGTAGTGTTAAAAATGTTCACAATTCGCATCGATTGACAAGTGACATTTCTCCACGTAATTGGCTGCGTTCCATTTGCGTCAGACGTATACAGTGTACGCTGTAGAAGTATACAGCGTTCAGTTTAGTCAAAAATATTTTTATCGTCAGTTCAATTAATATTTTTATGGGATAAGTGATAAGCCGGTAAACTAGCAGACGGATCACTTCATGGTAAGCAATCGGCACCGCCTATGAATACACCCGAAATACCAAAAGCGTTACAAGATCGTCGGCGGCCTTTTGGGGGTTAGGATTTGAGGATTGTTGGAGGTTGAGGAAAGGGGTAATTGGGTCTCTGGTAACCTCTCTCATGCGTCAATTTTCTGTGAGGCCGTTGTATCATTCCGGTTGAATCAGCCCAATAGTGGCAAAGCATAGCTCTTACCACTTAAACTTAATTAGATCTCTTATCTCACCCCCCTTCTATAAATAAATGGCGTCTAGTGTCGTGGTGGCCCGGAGGTTTAAAAGGCCCGCTTCTCATGGATGAGGGTGCGGGTTCGAAACCAACCAACGGCAAGTACCAATGTGACTTTTTCCGAGTTATATGTACTTTCTAAGAATTAAGATTATCTAGACACCACTGACAAACGGTTGAGTAAGCGTGGTGATTAATGCTCAAACCTTCTCCGTGTGAAAAAAGGCTTTGCTCAGCAGAGGGCATTTATACGCCGTTGATGATGATGAAATAAATGGCGAAATATTGTAGTGCCGTTTTTGTTTTCCTAGCTTTTGAAGAAAAACACAAGGAAAAGGAAAATGCTTGGATGCAGGCTAGTCCGGCTCCACAGGATAACTAAAAACACTTGTTTTAATGAAATCGTAAAAAATACAGCCATATTGCTAAATTGTCTATTGTTTAACTTAGATAACCATTGTAAACGTGAGAGCCCTGTAATTAACTTAATATTAAATTAGATTAGTAGATTTCATTTGTGTCAGCTTGGAGTTGTCATGCTCACTCAAAGGTCTCATTGGCGGTGGCGCGTGCAGTGGATCGCTCGATTCCCTACAATATGGTTGAGTTGGGCGGTGCTGGTGTACGTGTCATGTTCGTGAACGGGCGCCGTCAACTGGGACTGGTCAGCTCCAGACTGTATTACTGTCCTTAAGGTTATTTTCTTTTTTGATCACTTTGACTGGATTTTAGTGTTACATTGTTCTCGCACTTTCCAAACAGCAAAACTATGTAACTAGTAAATTGTATTGTGAACCTGATTGAAAAAGAGTAACCTATGGAGTTTCTTGCTCGTTCTTCTCCATAGGAATCTACGCCTTGGAATGAGCAAATAGCTTCACTTTAAATTTTTGTTTTTGTTGACGTTCAAAAGTGCCATTCTGGCCTAATTGAAATAAATGATTTTGACTTTGACTTTGACTTTGAAAACAATCGAAAGTGAGGATTCCCTGCTGTCACGGGCACATACACAACGTATGCCCACTGTCGTTACTTGCACATTTTATAAATGGGCCTACTTCAGTGAAGGTCGTAGCTCCCATCAATGTCCTATGGGGCTTTATGTCTTTGTGAGGAGTGTCACTTAAAGGCAATATTTTTATTCGCTAGATTTTTAGAACTAGGAAGAAAATACCGGTCGTAAACTAGACCAAAGTCTGTCCCACCTCCTTTTTCTTTTGAGGGGGGAAAATCGTCTAGTGACTTTTCCGGATGAGGGGAGATGGAGTGTCAGAATCTTACTAACTAAAAACCACCCCGTTCCTAATCCTGCACTTCGATCAGGAAATTTAATATTTTTTTTAGTTACGATCTCTAGACGCATTATAACTTTCGTAAGACATACTAAATTAATATTTTTATTATTTTTCATCTTCTTTACGTATAGGATGCTATGTTTGTCAACTGAGGCTTCGATAGCGGATTCAGTAGCGGCAATCCTCAAAATACGTAAAAATACATTTTTCTGTCGACTTCTCCCGACTAGTAGGTATCTAACTACAGTTAATACTCTAATGTACTGTTATTAGCATAACATTTTGTAGAAAGACATTGTCATTTGGTCCCAAAGTGATGGATTGTACTTCGACTGATCACATAAATATGAAAAAATTGGGCGCTCATCTGACCTTATAGTATAGACTTTAGCTGGCTGTACCAGCTGATGATTCCCTTTCTTCAAAAGATTATGCACATGTAAAGTAGACAAGTCTACAATCAGGAGTCAACGGCTGGAAAAATAATACTTTGTTTGATGTTGGAGCGGCTGCCACTACGCAACCCATTACTACCAGTACCGCAGTTGATGCTCAATTACTCACGAAGCAAGTTATCGACTGAGAGGAAATAGCTGATAAAAATAATCGTACCTGGCATACCATCCTTATTGTGGTGTGATATTGTGTACCTGTGCCAGGCGTATAGTGGCGCGCAATTTGAAGTCAGGAATTGTGACTTAAATATATATATAAATTTTATTTTCAACTCCAGCTACTTTAAACGCTCGTAACTCAGTCCGGACTGAGATTTCCATATGTAAGTACATAGACAATCTCCGATTTCGTTTGCAATGGCAGTCTAGATAATATGTTTCATAAATAATCGACTGCCGCCAGAAAAAAGACACTATTTTAGGCAATGTCCTTTATTCATTGGATTTTTGATGTATGCAATAAAGTTGAAGACACTCAACTCAACTCAACTGGGACTGGTCAGCTCCAGACTATTTTTTATTGTTTTTAAGGTTATTTTTTTTTTCAATCACTTTGACTGGATTTTGGTGTTACATTGTTCTCGCACAATCCAAACAGCAAAACTATGTAACTATTAAATTGTATTGTGGACCTGATTGAAAAAGAGTAACCTATGGAGTTTCTTGCTCGTTCTTCTCCATAGGAATCTACACCTTGGAATGAGGAAATAGCTTCACTTGTAATTTTCTTTTTGTTGACGTTCAAAAGTGCCATTCTGGCCTAATTGAAATAAATGATTTTGACTTTGACTTTGACTTTGAATAAATTTGACAGAAAAGGATAAGTGGTCAACCTATCCTTTGCTGGTCACTGCATGCTGGCCACCGTACCTATGAATTTAGTATTTACCTACATTTATTCTGGTACCTTTTAGTCAGTAAGTCTAACCCAAGACGGAAGATATCATAGGATGATTTTCCCCCCTCAAAAAAAAAGTATGTAGGTACATAAGAAATGTTTATGAAGGATTATAAACAAGTAATATTAATAAAACAACACAAGTTAGGAATAACAGTAAAACAATTTATTCAAAATTCAAGACGATACAATTGGAAAATTAAATTTTCACTTTAAAAGTTTAACGATTCGCTTAACATTAAAGTAAAAAGCCATGATTCCAACAAACAAAAATACTGTGATAATAATGTCTTAAAAATTACACTTATGTGCATAGGGACTAAAATGAAGTCAATAAAATGCAGACAATACTTCAATTTATCTAGTGAGTGTTTAGAATGCAAGTCCAGCGTCGGCGTACGTGGTGAAGATCTTCTCGATGGAGTTGGCGTACGCCGCTGTTCTCAGATCTAAGCCCAGGTTGAACTTCATGGCAGTCTTCATGATGGCCTGTTAAAGAAATAATAACATGAGTTCACATTTTGTTTTCTCATTAGCACTGGATTTTCTCCTTTACTGTGAATGCGTTGATAAACAAATTAAAACATTAATTTACGAATAACAATGAGTTGTTCTATGTGGGAAACTGGGAATGGGTCCCGCTACTCGTTGCGCATTAACCGATCAACCAATTACTTCTCTAATAACAATGATAAACTACCTAACACTTAAAAGCCAAAGATAAAATAGAAGTCACTTACCCTAGCCGATCTCTCCATGGTGTAGTCGAGACCAGAGTGCACGATGTCTTTTTCGGAGGCACCAGAAATCCTCTTCTGGAAGGACTCGGAGGGTGTGACTGGAATGCGACCTCCGACGCGGCCGAAACGCCTCTCCAACGACTCCTGTACGGATTCTGTAAAAATAAAAGCATTTATATAATAACGGGTATTTTTACTATTCGAAGGTAACCAAATTGTTAAAAATCCCCTGTTGTTTAATCTAAGCAGGTACTACCTACTAGTACTACAGTCAATACTATGTTTTTCTGAGATTTAAGAATTGCGGGATTGGCGGCTAAGTTTGAGAATAACAAGACAAAATACTTGTTCTTAGTAGAGACCGAATATACCTAGTAGGTACATGCCGAATAATAAATATTTTGCTCTGACAAACCCAGAGTTAGCACAATAGAGTAAAGGAAGCTGTTGACCTTCTTTTGTCATAGAACAAACAGATAACGGTAGGTACTGCAAGCTGCAACGTTTGCGGTCGTTCGTAAACACCGATACAGGATTTGTACAAATAATAAATAGCCCCTATATACTATGTAGGTACCTACTTTAGAACAGTTTTTGCCATCGATTCTTAAAGGAAAATAATTCATTTCCCATAGTCGGTTTGCATTTAATGAATGCTCAAAAACGAAAAATATTGACTAGTACTCTAGTGAATTATGAATCTGAAGAGTACCATCAGAACTTACATAAACAATAAACAATCAAAAATAAAAATATAAAACAACATACCCAGGAGGTGGTAGTTGGACTCGCGCTCATATTTGAAGGTGAGACGTCCATAGGACACGTGGTTCAGGTTCTTGAGCCACTCGAAGAAGGAGACGGTGACACCACCAGCGTTGATGTACAAGTCGGGGATGACAAGGATGTTGCGGTCAATCAGGATCTTGTCGGCCGCTGGGGTCGTGGGACCGTTGGCGGCTTCAGCGATGATCTGCAAAGAAAAGAGGAATTTATTAGATATTTTTTAATGAAGCCTATACAAGCACTTTGGAAAAGTTACCATTAACGATTTAATCAATTTAACGGCCGGGCCTATGTATGTCAAAGTTTGCGAGTACCTA